CTCAATCGACTTAAGCTGAAATTGGCACTCTTCTCAGAAAGTTAGATGCGACACAATGGAGCTCGATTAATCGTACTTCGGTGCTCAGCTTGCATGATTTGAGGATGAGGTACAAACGGTGATCACGCGGGCTACGTTGCATGCATTCTGCGTATACCCCTTAAACACCGAGCAATCCGACCTCCCGTTTCCGGTTCGAAGGAAGCAGTTCTACGTGCGAGTGGCCTAAGTAATGAAAATTGATAAATTCAGTGAGAAAGGTCGGCATTTTTTTAGGTATAGATGTATTCTCGCATGAACAGCTGTACGTTGCGTAGTCACGTTATAGTCTCCCAGAAAGTTGGTGTCACTTTCGTAATCCACTACTTCATGGAATTTTCATTTCAAGGAGGTTTTAACGAGTCTCCGACTCGTTTTCAGTAGGCCGTATGTTTGTGCGTATTGTGAATAGCTGTGAGGTTTAATGTTCGTGCAGCTCACAACCTCGTTGAGGAATTGTGTCAAATGACGTTATGTGGGAGCGTCAGTATGGTGGGGAGAGTGTAACGGGGTTACTCGACTGCTGCATAATTTTAATTAACTATTGTGTCATGGTTTTAGCCATAAATATACTGCATAACATGGTATTCTTGATAGTTGTCCTTGTGGAGGTATTAGTGAAAGCGTTTAGATGTGGCATAGGTAATAAATACCGTACCTTATCGATTATGATTCGATAACCGATAACCTTGTAGTGAAAGATTTATACACTGATGACCGGATGACGTCATTAAATAAAAGAGTCTGAATGCTATAATTATTATTATAGTAATAATTCTAGTGTAGGGTAATTAGGGTAGGTTTATTATCCGATCTTAATGCATATATTGAGGGACGACCCACCCCATTATTGTGACAAGGCCCACCCCACTGGCTATTATTACCCAATATCGTGTTACTTGGTGGATACAAAGCGGAAGTAAACTTTAAGAGGCATTATGGGCATATGAACATGTATGATGTTTGTACTAGGTGTTTATTCGTCGGTCTGACGGATAATTGGATGATTCGGGTGATGATACGCCGCCGGTCTCAATTGTTCCGATGAGCGAGCGCTTGCCAAGGACGAAGAGTGTTGCTACTGCCTTTGTAGTGGAATGAATACAAACTTAACGCAAGGCTTCGTCATAGACAACATTGCGCATTAGTTGCCAGGTCTATCAAATCCGCTGGTAGAAGGACAAACACAGTCTCAGCCGCTATGTCAGGCTAAGCCTAGCTTATCGATGGGTATAGACGATTCTCGTCGCGCACCAGATCCGTTCCCTAAACGTGGTGTCACAAACACGCTGTCTGCGTTGCGCTTAGAAACCTGATATATCGTCAACGACAACTGTTATTGCTAAAGTGATGAAGGTAGGAGAAGGCAAATTGTGAAGTAAATATATTTGGTCTTTAGTTCGCTACTTTAAGCTACATTAATGCATGTCCTCATTAGAGCTTTCGTTACTGACTTCATCAAGATATGTTTGTTAATAACGTCATGTCCTTTCAGGTATTGGCCTTTCTCATATCCGTATCCTGTAACGTCAGGATACGAATATCATATCATATAACGCCATTCGCCTGTCCAACATGCACTCAGAGATGAATTATTAACACTTAAACTCACTACTTATGCATGGCTGCGCCTTGGTGAGATACCACTTGCATGGAGCAAGTACTTGAGTCGCTTCGTTCCTAGTGCTTTGGTCCGCATGTCTGCCAACTGGCCCACCGTTGACTATGTCCTGAGCCACATTCTCCCGGATAAAGTAGTGACGGATGTCGACGTGCTTTTTCCTGGTATTGTTACCGAAGTTGCTTGCAAGTTTAATCGCACCTTGATAATCTTCATAGACCAAAGTCGCTCCCACTTGCTCATGACCGAGATCCTTGAGCATAGCGCGGACCCACAGTACTTCATGGGTACAAAAGCTTAAAGCCATGTACTCCGCCTCTGCCGATCTCAACCGTCCACCGTGCGCTGGTACTTGGACTTGAACGCGACTGGTGCACCACTAATCATCACCATTATACCTAACATCGAGCGTCGATCGTCGATGTTGCTTACCAGTCCGCGTCCGTGTATGCTGCTGCTTGAAGACCGCTTGCGCTGCCGTCGAAAGTTATGCCGTAGTTCCTTGTTGTCTTGAGGTTCCGAAGTACACGAATAGCTGACTTCCAATGATGCTGACCTGGGATTTTTAATAAACGTGACAACTGTGTGATAATATACGCCACATCAGGGCGCTTACATGTTGTGATGTACAACAGACATCCAATCAACGACCTGTACGGCTTTAACTTCATTTATTCTTTTTCAGCGTCCGTCGCTGGTGATTGCATCTTTGAAAGCTTCAAACCAGACTCGCATGGGTTGACCACTGCCTTGGCTTCATTTTGGTTAAACCGGCGACCACGTCATCGATATAGCGAGTATGACGAATCATCAGTGTACTGCCGTTGCGATCATGATCGATCCCCATACCGAGAATAAACTTGAACTTGCCTATCTCCTTCATCTTGAACGTATGTTTTCAGTGCTGTCTTGACTTCCTGGATCTCTCTACTGGTCTTGTCGGCGATGATCATGTCGTCGACGTTAAAACACATATACGAAGTTGCCATTGTTGCCCTTGATATAGACACACTGATCTGCTCCACTACCCCAAAGACCAATCCGCAGGAACACAGCATGGATCGTCTTGACCCATGCACTCGCAGCTTGTTTGAATCCGTAGATTGCCTTGTCTAGCTTGCACATCATATTTTCAGCATATTTTTTTGGTTATGCCATTAGGTACTTTTATGTACACCACTTCTTTGAGATCACTGTTCAGAAACGCCGTGTCTGCATCCATCTGTTCGGTCACGTATCCCTTCGCCACCACCACAGCCAGGATGACCTAGATTGAGTTCATGTTTGCTACGGGTGAGTACGTCTTAAAGAAGTCGACAACGAACTTCTGCTTAAACCATTTAGCGACAAGTAGGGCCATTTACCGCACCACCTGTACGTGATCGTTGCGCTTTGTAGCGAATAATCACATGCATTCGATTGTTCGGACGTTCTTTATCTTTGGGACAAGCCTCCATGAACCGTTCTTCGAGTGAGCTCTAAGCTCAGCGCTCATAGCCTTCACCCATTTATTGGCTTCGTCGCTTTCCATGGCTTGTAGATATGTCGTCGGTTTATCATCTGCATCAACACTACTTGCCGTATATGCTAGTACAGCTTCTGCAAGGCAGGTTATCTTCATCAATACGAGGTCGTTTGGGTGACGGCGGATAGAGATGATATCCATTGTCAGGATCATCGTCGCTATCCATCGTGTTTTCGTCAGCCATGATCCATCTATTACCAAGAAGAAGATAATGTTCTCTTGGACGTCGAGATCATTTCCTTTCCAGCCTGAAAACCATGTCGCTGTTTGCTGTTGATTCATGTATTCGATAATATGTCGTTTATTCGCTTCCTGATGACATAAGCTCATGTTATTTTCTTGATCTCGACGTCTTCAAATGGGTCCGCTGTTGACTCCATTGGTTCATCCTCCACAGGCGATTCCTACTCAGATTTAGGCTAAGCCACTTCGTCGATGTCCTTAATCAAGTTGATGAATTCAGTCTCCCCTGTCATCGACGTGCTATAAATTTCATTCTCAACGCGTTCGCTGAGCTTCACTGATCTTCACTGATCTTGACATATTGACTTTATTCAGCTCCAGATCATAGACGCAATGGCCCTTCGTATTGTACCCATAGCCAAAAAACATAAACTTGAAGCTTGTAACTCCTTTTTGCGTTTAGCGTCTTCAACATGAGCACAACCCATTGATTCAAACACTCGCAAGTGGTCAGTCGAGTATTCACTTGAATATTATCGCGTATGGTGTCGCGTCGGTGTGAGTGTGTGCTGTTTGTTGTACGGTTGATTTAGTACACTGTCGTGCCAATTAATTTTTTCTGCCCACCAGGAAGTATACACACCCTTGTAGTGCATCATGCTCCGTGCCTTCTACATTATCGTTCGATTCATCCGCTCAGCCACTCCATTTTGTTGAGGGCTGTATGGCACAGTCTTCTGGTGCACAACACCGTTACGCTGACAAACTTTATACATGGCCTCGTCCACAAACTTGGTGCCGTTGTCAGAGCGTAGACATTTGATGCGCTCTCCCCACTGATTCTCGTACATTTCTTTTTGAAAAACTTAAACCTTCTTGGTACTTCGCTCTTCTTCTTAAGAAAGTATGCCACAACGTACTTAGAGTATTCATCAACAAAGGTAAGCACATACTTCGCGCCACCATTTAACTTCGTCGTAATCGGTCCCATTACGTCTGTGTGCACAAGTTAAAAAACACGGGACGTAGTCGTCTGTGAATGAGATGGGAATTGCGCCACCGTTTGCTTGCCTTCAAGCATCCACTGCATAACGTCTTCGTTTTGAACTGGTAATTTATAATGCCAGTCTTCACACGATGCGTCTTTGCCAGCGCGTCTTTGTTCAAGTGACGAGTGCGAGCGTGCCAAAGCTCATACTTGCTATCGACAACCGAATATGCCACGAATTGCGCCGTTTAATGCTGACACTCCAGCTTGTAGGCCTTGCAAGCCTTCCCCCACGAGGCGGTCGTTTGGTTCTTGTTCCAAATGATACATGAGTGTGCGCTCGAACTCAACATTAGGCCCACGTTCTGAAAGCTTTCCGATCGATAGTAGTCGTCGATCCGGGCCAGGGATGTGGAGGACTTCTAACATCCGAATGCGCTTGCCGTCAATGTTCGTTAAGCGCACCGACCCGGTACCTACCACACGGATCTTCTTTACATCCGCGATGGTCACCTCGATGTAGTCGAACAAAACTTCTCGGTGCGGCGTCATGTGTGCCGTCGCACCATTGTCGATCAGCCACCCTGATGATAGAATCTCCCCGGCACAGAAGACAGCGTCCTCGTCATCCTTGTCAGGCTCCTTCATGTCCAAGCAGTTCTGCTTATGTGACCAAACTTGTCACAGTTGAAGCACTTGCCTTTGAACCCACTTCGCTTTCTCGAGACGTTGTACTTGCGTCCGTTGTTCCTTCCACCGTTGTAGAACCTTGTGTTCTTCAACTTGACCCCGTGCGGTGTAGCCTTTAGCACGCGTTCCGTGGCTTCCTTCTTGTCCTGTCGCTCATACTCCTTGAGCAGCTTCTCCTTCACCTCAATGAGCGTGACGACCTTGGCGTTATCCTCGATCGACGCGATGATCTCGTACTCTGCAGACAGACTGCTGAACAAAATCACGAGCTGTCGCGCCATGTCAACTGGCTCACCCAGAGACTGTAGACCAATAATGAGTTCATCGAACTTGTCCAGGTACTGGGTCATCGTCACGCTGTCGTCCATCTTAAGCTCATGAAGGCGGCAGGTCATCGTCACTCGATTGTTCATGGTCGTGCGATTGTAAAACTTATGCAACGTAATCCATGCCTGGGTAGCCGTCGTTGCCGACCATATATTGTTATGATGCTCCACCGCAATGCCATGAGCAATCAGTTCCAGTGCCTTTGTGTCGTTTATCACCCACAACTTAGTCATCCCGGCTTCAGGCTTGACCATCTGGATATGCGCTAGCATTCCCATTCTCGACAGCGTCATTAGCATGACGAACTCCCAGTGGACGTGTTGTCGCTCCCAAGGATGACTTTAACCTTCTTCGCAGACATGGGAGCGGCGGGAATTGTTCTTGAGCGTCTTGCGGCTGTTAACCTGTTAACCTGTTAAAGTGATGAAGTTAGGAGAAGGTAAATTGTGAAGTAAATATATTTGGTCTTTAGTTCGCTACTTAAAGCTACATTAATGCATGTCCTTATTAGAGCTTCGTTACTGACTTCATCAAGATATGTTTGTTAATAACGTCACGTCCTTTCAGGTATTGGCCTTTCTCATATCCGTATCCTGTAACGTCAGGATACGAATATCATATCATATAACGCCATTCGCCTGTCCAACATGCATTCAGCGGTGAGATATTAACAGTTATGAAATCGCTCGATAAGTAATAGCAAAGGACGATTGAACAGGAGGAGGGCGCTTGGCGCCGACCAAGGAGTATGACTATTAACGAGACTATGTCTTCACGCCACTATCCGTAGAAGAGCGTTTTAAGGGTACGGTTGGCCACTCAATGTCTGGATGGCCCACAAAGTCTGAGGTCACTAAGGCTGAAGTTCTTGCAACGCGAAAATCACTACGTAAGATATTAAGCCATGCGTTATTATGCAAAATCAATTTATGGAACGCTTGACGAAGCAATCACGTGAAGCGTCGGTCTCTACCATAAATGGTGTTCCCACCCTCTCATTCACATGGAAAACAGAGGATGAAGATAATAATGCATTCAATCTCTGGGAGCATCGAGCACGGCGTCTCAGGAGCGGATGGATCTTTGAGCTAGTGCCAGTGTAGCGGACGTTCGGCTCGAACGTAAACTTTGCTATGACTATGCAAAACTGAAGGCCCGAGTTCACTTGCGATCCGAATTATTGCGCTATGCGCCTTGTTGCTTAGCATTCAAGAGCTTTGGGTCGTTGGAGTCGAAACCGAGGCTCAGAAGCATGTGAAATGCATAAGCATGTAGCTGCGAGAGTTCTCTAGTTTCTTTTATTGTAGAAAGTACAATGCCAACTAGCGAGTCTTCAGTCATTAACTGATAAAGCGACGACCATACAGACGCTATTTATCATCTGAAACTCAAACACGCTTGACCGTCCTTTTCTCTTGCCGTCGTATCGGCAACATACACGAATTGGCAGCCGTCTTTCTTTAGCCTACCTTACGAGATGAGATGCAGATCCTAGAAATGTGAAGGCGCGTAGTATACGTTGGACCGTGGATATGTCAACGTGCTTCTCATAAGCGAATTTGCCGACCTCTGCCACATGTAGCCATTAACGGATAGATACGGCGACAAGCGTTTTGCAGAACTCATTAAAGCTGCGAAGACGGACTCAAGGACCGAAAGTGTTGATAAAATATGGAGGAAAGCGCAAACAAGCCATTGGCTGAAGAGTGTATACTTTGCCAGTGTGTACCCAAAGCTGCATCGCGTTTGGCATGACCTATTTGCTAATTTACTCTACCATTATAAAATGCCTATTGGGAACGGTCGCCCTGAACGGGCAGAATCAACAATGCCTTAAGTTTGTAAGAGTGAGAGATTTGTTGGACCATTAGGCATGATGAGCAAGCGTGGGCACATAGAAGTCAAGTCATCACATCTACGAATGATACGTAGCACACTCTGATAAAAATGTAACTATCATTATACCTTTGACACCCCATAAAACAAAAAGCCTTGTCGAGAATTATTTAAGCTGCGAAGATAGACTTGACGAGCAGAAGCGACGTTTTAGAACTAGGGAAGGGTATATAAACTATTGGCTGGGTAGCTTCGAAAGTGATCATGATGCTAGGACTGGATAAGGCTGAGGATCGCCTGTTTACTTAAAGACCCTTTAGTATTGGAGTACCTGCTGGAAAATTCAACGCGGTACATCCTCACAAGAAGCCAAGTGTCATCAAGTCTTTGACGACCATTATGCGACAATTTGATTATTTGTCTCACTTAGAAACTCAATTTATGTTTTTGAAACCGCGGCAAGCAAGTCAAGTCGTAAGATGTAGCAGGTACCATGCGTGTAGGTAACGAAAAAGTTTGCTTGACCGCATCATAGTGTTCTTCTTGGGCTTTTCCACTACGCGCGATATATGCCCCACTGCGTATGCAATGTCTGGGTGCGTCGAAGTTGTCAGGTGCATCTGGACACCAACTGTCTCGCAAAACGGTGTATTGATTGTGATTAGTGCGTCGAATTAGTCGAGAGCTTATGTTGTCAACACTTTTCACATTCTTGCAATTGCCCATGCCGAATCGCTTGAGACTAGCATTTACCTAACGGCGTTAACACATCGTCGTCCTACCGTATGAGCTTTGCAATAACTCAATCCCCGGAACAAATGCACACTTGCCGCTGTCAGTCATTTCGAAGCGCGTCTTTAGATCGTTCTTGGTGCGTGTGATTAGCTCGAGAGAGCTTCCGACTACCATCACATCATCCATCTAGACCAGTAACAGCACACAGTGACCTTCCATAGTCTTGATGTAGGGGTACATGTTACTATAAACATGAAATCCTATCGCGCGCACAACTCGTTATAAGTCTCGTTCCACACGCGCATAGCTTGCTTTAGCCCATATTGCCTTCACCAGATCAATACAAACAACTGTCTATCAGTTTTTGATTTATAGGCGTCGCCATGTAATATACGGCAACGGGTCGTAGTATGCTGAAATATCTACAGAAAGTGGTACCATGAGATTGATAACGTGACTAGGACTGAGGTGACGAAGGACGACGCCTTGGAATTGGACACATTGGGATTTAGGATTCGTGCCATCGCCCCCCCCATCGTCTTCTTCTGCAAGTTTCATTAGAACACCAAGCTACATCCCTTCAGGAACTATGCAGAGTATTTGCTACTTCAATATTCGATACAGAAATGCAGTCAGCACGTCGAGCTGGTGAAGGAGCTTGGCTATGGCAATGACCAGACGGAGCGAAACATACTTCTGATAAAAGCCTCAGCCACGAGACGCGCCTTGTACTTCTCGAACGATCCATCCGCTATACAATTTATCTTACACAACCATTTCGTAGCGATAGTCCGTTAACTGTTAGCCATTTGCAGCACAAAATACAGCATCTATTCAATTTTGAATGAAATACTTTGCGCCAATGCACCTAAGTCGGCCCGCTCACTGCTGCTTTGAATGTCAGCAACTCTGATAAATCAGCTGTTGTTCTGACCGCGTTCGTACTTGCACGCCAAAAAGTATTCGAGGCTTCGTTTTTTTATTTTCTTCATCAGCTCCTGTTGGTGCGAAAAATAGCTGTCCGGTGCACTTGATTCGCCTAATTTAGAGCGTTGGCGAGTGGTCTGTGGTCTTCTGATGGCTTCATCTTCGTCACTGGGACGGCACTTACGCTTCCCTGCTTGTTGTATTCTGTATTGCTTGGACATTCATTTATCAATGCCGACCGAGATGACATTGAAAGCTTAATCGGAGACCGGCGACGAATATTCAGAGCTCTATATATTGAGGTTGACATTGCGACTGATAACCACCCGCTCCGCCTTGATGCCATAATTCGATACTTCTTCGTACGTTTAAATCCAAAAAAATTAGAAAAAGTTTCAATTCCAGTCCGTAACTGTATGTGCTTAGCAATTAAATAAGTATTGAATTTTGTCTCACCTTTTTTTTAATCGAGTCAATACAACAAACTTTAGTTATTTTTCAAATTTTTAATTTAGAATTATCCTGTAATTTCTTATACATATTTAAGTGTTAATTTAGTGAAAAACATATTAAAACCTAAAGGTATTACAGTCCAGCTTAATAAGCTTAGGTATAGCTAACATATACAAAAGAAGCACCATTTGCATGTGGATATCGAAGTCAACAACTATTATATATATCATTAAGATGTTAAATACTTATACTATATATATATATTTTTTTTATGTAGTCTTTTTCTTAAAGTATATATGATAAAATCATTTTCGAATTGACTGAGAAGAAATAATATCCTTAAAGTTTTTAAAATTATAAAGTGTCTGCAGAATATCAATTATAATCAAAAAAGAGAAAAATATTAATTTTATAAATGAATAACCTAGATGTCTCCTTTACTACCTCAAGCATCACATTCGCATTTCATTCATTCTTACCGGTCATCCAACCGTCGGTTAACACCGTTACAGTGTAAGTGATGATGTGATCGATCTAGCTGAGAAGAGCAGAGCTTGTGGCAGAGAAAATGGTAACGAGCCAAGCTACAAGGCCGACCAAAAGCAGTATGCAAAATTAAGCAGCTATCAGTTCCAAGTGGCTCGAATTAGAGAGCATATCAAGCTGAACAAGCGCTGGGAGGAGCGCATTACACCAGCTGAATCTCAAAAAAGATACGAATAGCTAGTATGATTGCGACACCTGCTGAAAGATTCGGGTGAACAAGTAAGGAAATGTTCAATTCGATGCGTCAAGTATATAGACAGACACCAACGACTCACCTTTCGACGGTTGATACGAATGGTATACGCGCGAGCTCTGCGTTAATAAATGGCTGAGGCTTGTCGGCATCGAATATCCAAACTCTAGAAAGTCCGTCGCCACTTGAGGACGGGTTCACTCTAGATGAGATCTTGGAGAACTTCAATGCAGTAGTGATGGTGTATGGAGAGCGCGCAGAAGCAGGAGCTGCTGATTTCTTTGCGCAAGGAGATATTACGTTGCGTAAAACAGGGCCGGTTTTCGAGGTAATTCGCGATACTCACCGCGAAGAAGCTCTAAAACAGAAAATCGTGGTGTAAAAGGCGTCGCTTGCGATTAAAGCTATCACGGACTCGTTTCCACTGAAGTCACAAAACATATTGCACAAAAAAGTAGCACAGTCAGAAAAAGTCGCGCGGTGATCATCATCTTGATGAGCCAAAGGAAACCACGGTTCAAGCTTATTTCGCTCACAAGATGGAGCGAGGGAACACTCCCGGCTTCAATGTAATACCGAGTGTCACCATCGGTGTCTTCATAGGGGAGACCGAGTATACCGTAACTGTAATTCAGCGACACGTTCATGTGATAGATAATATGGTCACAGACGCCCACTAGCACGATCTGATATTGCAATACATGTACCCCAGTTTGCAGAAAAGGATTCGGTGTGTTCATGAACGTTAGTTATATAGAGGTTACAGAGCCAGCTGTATCCTAGTTGTTTACAATGCTCAACGCAACCAGGTGTTTCCATCGCTCACAATTCTATGAATTTGTTCACATAAAAGAACTCGCTTCTGGACGGATTCGTGCAACGCAGACACCGTTACGACAAGACAGTAGTTTTGACCTCACGAGAAGCCAGAGTAGTGTAGCAATCTCTTAGGAGGTCTTGTTTGAGGTGCTCTGCTTAGCTGGGTTTATATACAGCGTTATCAGGCTGAAAATAAACTTCCGGTCCATGTGTAGTATAGCTTTCGTGAACCGTGCACTTGCTTATAAACCACTAAGCTTAAATTGGTGTATATTCGTTCTAAGAATCACTAGTAAAGCTTCAGGAAAAGTTATGCATTTCCAGAACAGGAGTAACGGGGCTGCTACAGCCAAAACGTTAGAGGAAGACGTGCGACTCAAAGAGTCGATAGTTCAGATAATTGCAGGATTTTTTACCGCTTAAGTAGCACTTGGCCCTCAACAACTTTTGACGAAATGACCGCGCACTTTGTAATTTGACCTGCAGCAGTCACCTTAAGCCAATCATGCGAGTACAATTCGTTAAAGCATTCGTTGCCACACTGCATTTTCTGCCGAAGTGAAGACAACAACTTCCGTCGTTGGAGCCCGATTAATATCTCTGAGGAATCACACTTTACTGCGCGTAAGGAAGACGGTGAAGATGAGCTTCAGTTCAGCAGGGCTTCCTCTCGTACCACGAAACAATGCAGGATAAAGCTCTCGTGCGACATTAGGCTCAATGATACCTGGTGATCTCTTTCAAGGCTGGAGTTCCATGCATATCTATGGTTGCGGCGTCAGCGATCGCTTCACTGATGGCACGAATCAGTGACAAATGAGTTGTCTTTATGAAGCTCCAAAGACGGACTTAAGGAACAAAAGCTTCGCTGAAGTATTGGATGCAGCGTAAATAAGCCATAGACTGAAGAGTAGATACTTTCCTCGTGCGGCTAAAGGCACAAGTGTTGGCATGGCCTCCTTGCACATCCACTCCTCTATGTTTGCTTTGACAAGATCAAAATCTTGACAGCTCGTTACAGTGTCTGTAGGCTGGCGTTATATAGCTGCAACGCACTATGAAATCATACACACCTTCCTGCTCCTACGTGAAAGCTGTTTAAACGTCTTTTCTCGCGTAAAGCGAAAGCTGACTCGCACGAACGCTAACGCCTGTAAGCGCGACGCGGAAATGGATTCTAGCACGCTTATTTAAGATTAGTTGCAAGTAAGACTAAGTACTATGTAATGTGTTCAGAGAAATTGAAAAGACAATTGGTCAAGCAATATGAGTGCACGCACGCTATGATTAGACCTGCATTTTACGTAGCGATCCTAAACTCTTGGATGACGTCTGTCAAGGACGTAACCCGCAATACCGGTGTGTATTAGCTAACTTGCGGTGGAATTATCTAACAAATCTTTTATAATGATTTGCATTTTCTTTTTTTTTAATAATTTCATGTTATTTGTATGGTCTATCTGGAATGGATAGAACAAAATATATTAATTAATTTATATGCACAATATATAAAAAATTATAATTATAGATATTGTGTATCTCGATAAATTTAGGTATTTTGCTTACTAAATCGAAGTGTTTTCAATGTAAAACCATATATTAAGCAGGTTTTATTTATCGTTGTGGTGGTTTATCTCAATAATTTGTTTGCTGAAAATAGAAAGTACAAAATTTCTTGTTTTTACAACAGAGCTTTAAATAATCAAACAAATTTATTTTACAGTAGCTTCCCTAATATAATATGTTGTCTGGGATAGATAAGTACGATCGTACTTGTGACCTTAGTAAGTTTGGCAGACTATGATGTGGCACACACCAAAACTCCCACAAAAAATGAACCCATTGCTGTAACAATGGTCTCCGAAAAGTCAAAGGATCAACTAGCGAAAAGATAGGAATATTGCATGCTATAAAGTCAGGCAAATTGCAATACCACACAAAACGCTGAATCTCTCATAGTTTTGTCGCTGCTGCTGTGGCTGCAATATTCTTTCGATTTGCATTCAAATCAATTTTCTCGTTCAGAGCCATCAACGCTGGGAACTGCTGGGCGTGCAGTGTTCCCTCCAAACTAAAGTTGGCCAGAAGCACTCGATCTGTATTCATTTCACTTCGACATATAGCCAAATCACTGGTACTGCCATGAGTAGCGATCGGGGTGCAAGTAAACACACTCGCAAACCCGCCAGCAAAACTCTCGAGTAACTTGAAACGGTGCTCAGTCAAAGCCCAAGCTTCTTGGAATGGCGTATCGGCATTACATTTGACCAAAGCAGCACTCAAGATCGATTCGTGCACAGCAGCACGACGCAGAGCTTGGAGTTCTTGGTTCATCATGACGATATCCTCTTCAGACAAAAAAGTGCGAACAATCGGCTGTACATGCGGAGTAGAGATGCAAACTCACTTCCGCTTGAGCTGCACTAGCTCGTGAGGCAGAATCGGCGGCAAAAACTCGGTCATCTTTGGATCGCTTGGTCCACCCTTGGCACTGGGGCTACGCTCATCACCAAGGGCGGTGCTCAGCTCAAGCAAAGACTCGATCATGTTGGCTACAGAAATTGCCAAATTTTCCGCGGCGAGATCAACAATGGGGACTTCGGTTGTGTTGACAATCGCGACTGACGGCGCGTTAGTCTCCAAGATGAATGCAATCACACCAGTTTTGTTCAATGCGAAGCGACCATTGCGTGACCTAAACATCTTGTTGTGCGCCGAATCTGCAGCCAACAGCGAATCGTTCAGAGGACCTTGCGCATGGAAGGCAGCAGCACACGCCCTAGACAAATCAGCGACGGTTGCTATCTGATCAGCAAAACTTGTGTGGTTGTGCAGAAGTTTAGCAAACGTCTCGTTCGCAAGATTAGCAACCCAGGATACCGCCGTGAAAAATAACCACCACGAATTATCAGGCGCACTTGGAGGCTTTTAACTTCGAGATGCTGGGAGAGCAAGTTGCGATGAGCCGCAATCCAATTTGTTTCTTTTCCTAATGCAATCCATCTCTCCTTTGAGCTGAGAGAGTTATTTGTATCCCCAGGGGACAAAGGGGGAGCTGTCATTATGCTAGAAGCTCCGGCTGCTGGCGAATGTAGAGAGATAGTTTCTTCAATCCTGACAAGAAGCAGCCGTCCTGCAGAGACGAATAAAAGTTTGTCACAATGCAGTTTAGCTGATGACAACTGCTGGTAGAGCGGTAGACAACAGGAGCCGCTGCTTCAGTTTGCAGGCGTGCAACAATGTCCAGCACTCTGGCTGGCATTTGCGCATCTCCTTCCGTGGCCACTCCAATAAGGTAGTGTCTCCAGTTAGGCAGTACGGCGTTCAGTACCTGCTCCAGCGTAACATACATCATCGATTTGCACTTGTTCTCGAAAGCTGGAATCGATACCAGATGCACGTTGTGCATGGCACCTTGACCATACACCTTCACCCGAAACTCAAGATACGATCACATTGGTGCGTGTTCCATGGACGCTCGTAGCACAAGCGAAAAAGCCCAACATCCATGCAGCAGCCGTGACGTTACATTCAGATTGGCTGCAACAATTAAGCGTACAAATTCAGTCGTCTGTTCCTCAGTATATTGCGGGCTAGCGTTTCGGGCCCCTTGGAAATCTATGTCTACAGCAGCAGCCACGTTCTTAGTTCCTAGTTCTTTACTATCTACAAGATCACAAAGTAGGAATGGAGCATGCGACCGAAATGATTGCATTGTACTCGAAATCTGACGGATCGACAATCGGCAGCAGCTAACTTCACCAAACAGTCAATCTGTGAGCGTGAGTACACAACAATACGATAAAAAGATTCCACAACCGTCCCCACCAGATCGCATGATTGAAACGTGTCTTTTGATGGGCACCATTTTGCAACTGTATTCGACGCCGGTTCGTGTGCATGGAGTATCAGACGATGACTCTGCTTCCTAATGACATTATCCACCGTCAATTTTGTCGCGTCAATAGCCAGCACTTCCACCACTTTCACAATAGCCGACGCAACTTTAAAACATTTTCGTTTCTCTTCCATCGTCGGTTTCAATGCCCAAACCTCCCCAGGTGGCAGCTCCACCCTAAATTTGTCTGCCGAAGTCTGCATCTCCGACGTCGTTTCCGTCGGAAATGGAAAAAAGACTTGCTTTTCCTCATCGGAACACGCCCGATATCTCCTCTACATCTCACAATGGGAGATCTCATGGTGCTGTTGGTACTGGTCTGTCCGAAACGAATTCTGAAAGTATTTGACATTTCTCGTCGAGCGGCGCTGCTTGTTTGGTTGCTGCTCGCGTCCAAAACTTTGACAAAAACGACAGACCACGAGCGTCACTTCACCTGTGGCATTGTCTCGAGCTACAGGTGCCAAACCAAATTTGAGTTCGTGCGTTTTGAGAAATCGCAAAAAGCGTTTACGATTCAATGGTTTTGGTGCAGCACCAAAGGTGTCGATATCTCTGTGTCGTTTCTTGGGGTTCAGTCCTGATATGTCTTGAAACGTGAGTGTACGACGAGCAGAAGATGGTGTAAGATGAGGCATATCAACGGGGTGTGAGGAGGTAGTCAAGGAGGTAGTCACCATTGACACAATGAAGACTTGACGCGATATGATTTCTAAGTGAATTAGAAATAGATTACGGAGATGAGTTTTAATTTAAAGGTAAAGCGACCGTTACTTTTCATAATGTGAGTTTGCAGAAGAGCCTACAATAGAATCATAATCGGTGGCTGACAGCGTTTTAATTTAGTTAATGCGGCGTTCTAGTGGAATAATGAATTATTGAAGCAACGTTTCTAATTGATTAATGCACGGATGGCAATAAAGCTGTAGGTGGAGGCTATTCCCCGACAGTGAACGGTGACAGCGCTCGGTTTGTTAATAGGTCAGCCAATAGGTCACATACGTCAAGGTCTAGCAAAGTCGTAAAACGCCGGGACATCAGCGACATTCGCTGAAGCGGTAACGAAGACTTTGCCACAAGATCTACCTTTAAGAGGCATTGCGTACCTGCCAACGTGGCATTCATACGAGTGATGTGAAGACCATTGTTAAGTATTCGGAGACGGGGCAACCGAAGCAGTGGAATTAGCGATGGACGAAATGATGAAACTCAAGGGCGTGCTCGAAATGATATCGAAAAAGCGAGATGCTGATGAGCACGAAGGTCATCAAGACCAGGTGGGGCTACTGCGTGCTGCAACGATTTGTCAGGACGTTGCGATAGTCTCGCGATGACTAGCAACGTCCATGAATTGATTATGCAAGGCACTACAGCTGGTTGTTCGCATCACTCTAAATTCGTGGTATCTCCTTGCTTCCCAATAAAATGCAAAGAGGTTTGTAGCCGTAATCGTCGTGTGCTTCGATGGATAGGCTAATGTTTTCCGATGAGAAATTTATAATGGGATCATCAATATTGTCATCGCTCGACCAGGTATTCGATCTCGGCAAAACGAAAACAGGTTGTTGCATAGTGTCTGAGCTGAGTTTGTCGTTCCACAAGAATATACAATGAGGAAATACAAGGTAGGACGAAAAACGTCGATCAGGGGCTTATGGATTGGGCAGAAGCAGCACAAAACTGGTGGTGATAACAGCGATTGCTTCGATACTCCTTCAAGACGCCGAAAATTCTTGGAAGCGTCTATACCTGATGGCAAGTCAATCCCAACAAACATGTGTCACGGCATTTCGATCACCACCATAAGCAATATCATTCTTGCTTATAATTGCTGGATCTTGTCCAAGGTGTCTCGTTTTGCCATATAAAGTCAAAATCTCGACGATCTTTGGGCTAGTATCACTTATGTGAGACTAGTTGGGCGTGATCACTCCCATATACAAGTTTACGCTATCGATATCATTGATGGAGCTGCTGATCTTTTGTCACTTCACGAGCGTTGCTGCTGGATTCTATGTTGTCACTAAGAAATCTCATGCTGATAAAAGATTTTGAGTCATTGGGTCCAGGCGGATAAAAGCGCTGCTGAATTGGCGATATCGTTAACTCACACGCAATATCTGCTGTTCACGAAATGTTGAGCTGCAATGTCGACAGAGATACACGCTGAAGACGCTCTACGTATTGTTTTCGTCAGCATAAAAATAGCTATGTCCTAAGGCTATCGATTTATGTAGCAAGGGTCTTTTGACTTCCAGAGTCGTAGGAATGCAGTTGTAACATGCGTCAATAAACTGTGTCTCTTCCGTCTGCGAAGTAGCGATCTTCTGCATCGCGTTGCATCTCAACCAAGTCATCGAGGGTCTCGTCAGCATCAATCTCTGCATAATTGACGTACTCTCCGTCCTCACCATGAAGAAATCTAGTGCTCATGATCTGTATGAGTTGTTTTCGTCGTTCGTCGGTTGTAAACACAACTGCATCTTCTTCTTCCCCTTCCTCCTCTTCCTTCTCTTTCTCAATATTATCGTCTGCATACAAATGCTGGAGTCGAATCTGTTCTCTTTCTTCATCTGCAGCAATAAAATGTCCCCAAGTCTCTTGCTCCGCCATCCGTCGAGCTTCCATCTCACTGCGTTGACAAGTGTCCATCAAGAAGGAGGACAATGTATGTTTTGTCTCATCTAGTGACGACGACTTAGCTCGTCTGTCAAGTCCTAGATACTGCCCCAAGTAAAAGTGGAAGAGCGCAGGGCTCCGCTGCTGCATCATGGCGTCCGAGAAAAAGTGGTTCTTAGAAATGTCTTCCTCCAGCAGCTGCTGTAGATGTCGATAGCGGCGGTTTTTTACAACCACGGAGACGCCATTACAAACAGCTGAGCGATTCGTATTGTACTCGGCTCTTGCTTGAGCCATAGACATTAACTGATTGCTTGACGGCAGCGCTAAAGACGCCATATAAGCGTCCAATGAATCTACTGACTTCTGCTTCATGTTGTAGATTTAGCGATTGTGTCCAATTCAAAGTGTCGCAATGTATGTATTGTCAAGAAGCAGAGCCTTATTACTAGCTTTTGTATGTGGGAACGTGTACGTACGTGCTCATATGACTAACAACTCTTTCGAGAGCTCTCTCGACCTCTTGCTCCTCTGCCGCTTCCTCTTCCTCACACGTTCTTGTTCTTTTGTATCTACTTCTTCTTGAATTCCGTCAATAGCTCAGCCAATTCACCAGACTTGTTCATGTCCGTGATAATGTCGCAACCACCTACAAATTCACCCTTCACATAGAGCTGCGGAATCGTCGGCCATTGCCTACACACACACCCACACATCCATAAATTCAATATCTACATAGAACCCCCTCTCCTCTCTCTCTCCATCGAACAACAGCTATAGCCACGTACGAATATTCCTTGACACCCTCACGAATCTCCGCGTGATCCAGCACATTAACACTGTCAAAACTCACACCTTGTGCGTGTAGGATACGTACGACCTGCATACTAAATCCACACTGCGGAGATGATGGCGTTCCTTTCATATAAAGCATTACAGGATACGTCTTGACATGATTCGCAATCATTTTGAGGATCTCGTCCTTGTCATTCGATTTAACGGCGTGATATTGCGGCTGAAAGTCGGAATGCGAGTTATCGTCGCTCTTGGCAGAGAAGAAACGATGCTGCATGGACAGAACAGGCACTACATGATGCATAGCACGTGTAGAGAGCGTACGCCGACTGCCTTGCACAACTGAGCGAGTTATACGACGTACAATAGACGTCATTACCATCTTGATTACTCTTGAGCGTTTGTTTCTAAGTGTAAGGTCATGATTGATTGTATGGCTTAGCAAAAAGCAATCTAATTGGTTCAAATGAATCAATCTATGTATGGAAATATGATTCGTAGATATATCAATATCAATTCAGCCAATCAATAATCTCGATTCCTTTTTCCGCATTACATTCGTTAGAAATACTCCATTAAGAACCAGCGACTACCCCGAAGCTTCGTCTCGTCTCGTTGTCTCTGTGGCTTTAGCGCTTCTTCCATGACATCCAATCCGCCACAAATCACGACAAAAACTAGAGGCCTTGCAGCTAAACAAGCAGCAGCATCTGCCGCTGCGCGCTTTGCTGGATATTCTTCATTCTATGCACCATCTTCTCAGAATCAGATTCAAAACTTCTCAGACTCTCCATCGCCTCGCCCCGGCATGATTAACGGCCCTCAAGTCCCTCCTCTTCGTCCACCACATCCCGTTAATGGTTTTGCTCGTCCGCCGCCTCAGTTTTCGATCCATGGACGAGGACCGCCACCAATGATGCGGCCGCCTCCACGTCCTGCTAGTAATTACACCCCGTCTACTTCCTCTACATCTCAATGGCAATGGACTAATGGAAACAGTGCAACAAGTTCAGCTAATGCACCTCCTGTGAGATTTAGTATGAGGCCACCACCACGTGGACCTCCTCCTAGAAGTTTTGGTCCTCCTCCTGGAGCTTTCTCGGTGCCCAAACCTGCAGCTTTACCTGCTTCTTCACCTATGGGAAGCAATCCCAAGTGGCCTGATTCACTGCACAATTACGTGAAGCGAGCTTTTGGTCGTTGCAAGGGAGCGGCGGACCAAGCAATTACACAGAATTCCCTTAAAGAGTTGATTACCAATGCCATTATGACAAATAGTTTATGGACAAGGAATTGGACAGCAGAGCCTCTGCCGGTGTTAGTGGGAGACACAGCGGCAGCGGCTATGCAGACCAAGGTGGGGATGGGAGGACCTATGCCGGGACCACATGGTAACAGGTTTGCATCTTCTTCGCCTAGTAATAGTAGTTTTTCGCCTAATCAAGGCTTTGTTCCTTTGGAAGACTCTTCTGGTACGAAGAAAAAGACGAACAAGCGCAAACTCGATGGTTTTGAGATCGATGGCGCTGATGTGCAGCGCAAACATAAGAGACGAGAACGATTCCATATGACTAAGCAGGAACTCAAGAGTCTGGTGACTCCCGAGGTAGACACGAAGAAGCTTCAGGTCCTGACCCTCCATGGAGAGCTAGACCTTGCAGCCATGGTCATTAAAGGTACTTGTCAGACGATTGAAAAGGAATACTTGCGATTAACCTCTCCCCCACATCCGTCGACGGTGCGACCTGAGCCAGTGCTGCGCAAGGCGCTGGATCTCGTGAAGTCGAAGTGGGCAAAGGGTAACCACGATTATATTTATGCCTGTAGCCAGCTCAAGTCCATCCGCCAGGATTGCACAGTTCAGCATATTAAGAACGCATTTACCGTGTCTGTGTATGAAACCCACGCCCGGGTAGCGCTCGAGTCCGGTGATATTAATGAATTTAACCAGTGTCAGACGCAACTCCATGAATTGTATGAGAAGCTGATTTCGGGCGAGGCGATCGAGTTCCTAGCGTACCGCATCTTATATTGTGTGTACGTGTCTCTGCAGTCCAAGAAAGGAGATTCGAATGCGGGTCAGCTTGGCATGTACAACGTGCTAAGCCTGGTAACACCCAAGCTACGTTCGCATCCGGCGATCGCCCACGCACTGTCAGTGCGCCAGGCAGTCGCTATGAATGATTATCATCGTTTTTTCAAACTCTTTGTAGGTGCTCCAAATATGGCAGGTTACTTGATGGACGTGATGGTCCCCGCAATCCGACTGAGTGCACTTCGAGCTATATGCAAAGCGTGCGTTGATGTGAAAGCTCCATTTCTGTTTCTTCTACTGACTTTGTTTGTTTGCGCAGGTACCGTCCAACTATCTCGGTGCAGTATATTCGTGATGAGCTCAAGCTTGAAGGCAAGGCAGGAAAAGCGTTTATCCACCAGTCTGGTCTCGCATTCGTAAAGGGAGATAAGTCGCGCGTTGACACAAAGGCGTCAAACATTGTTTGGGTGCTGAGCAACGAATCATCGCTTATTTAGGCTGTTGTTTGCATGAGCGGTGACAAGTGTGAATTGACCAACAAATGAGAAGAAGCACAGTGTAGGCATCATACATGTAAGGTATTAGTAGGACAAAACCGGATTCACCGAGAAGTCGTGTCCACTTTTTTGATGAAGAAAAGGTGAACCTGAGTGTCAGAATGCCGAATGTCCCAGTATTGACCAGCGTGGTCGCAATTGCAGCAACTTGCAAGAGGTAGCATGGGTATAAAGTGGCAATGGTGATGAGAGTGGGCGAGGTATGGATTCGAAAGGGATAGTTGGGCGGGTAGTCTGGATGCAGCATGGTGTGAACTGGGTGTTACTTCAAGTAAGAGATGAGGAGGAAGAGGTCCGAGTCGCCCAGTCATGACGTCCTAATGCTCAATGTGTGGCATATTTCATTACTTTGCCAGTGCTCGAGAATTTGAGTTGGGGAGTAGTGCCAATGTCTTGCTTGTGATGCCGAGCAAGAAACTCCAATGCATCTCGCGTAACATAATAAAATTGCTTTTTGCGCTTTGATCGTAGCGTTCGTTATTTATGTGGAATCTACGCGGGTGGGAGGGCGTGTTCTAAGTACAGCGACATCCTTAGACACGATGTTGGCGCACCTTCCTTAAAGCTTGCGTTTCTTCTGCGCAGGCTCGTCCTGCTTACTGCCATCGCGAGCCAGCTGGATCATGGCAGCATCGGCGATGGCAAGAGCAGCCATGGACTCCACAAGCGGCACCACACGAGGAAGAACGCATGGATCGTGACGGCCCTTTGCCTCCAGTACAGTATCCTTACCATCGTAGCTGACCGTTGGCTGCGCACGTCCGATAGTCGAGACGGGCTTGATAGCCACACGAAAGTAGATATCAGCACCACTCGTGATGCCACCCAACACACCTCCAGCATCATTTTTGGTCAACCCGAGCTTCTCTGGGTTCTCCGCATCGGAGCCCGCGCAGAACGGGTCATTGTGCTCCGAGCCACGCTTGCTGGTCCCAGAGAAACCCGAGCCAATTTCAAAACCCTTGGTAGCCGGGATGGACATCATGGCGTGCGCCAGAACAGCTTGCATCTTGTCAAAGCATGGCTCACCCAGACCCACTGGTGCGTTGCGGATCACACACGTGACTACACCGCCCGTCGAGTCCTCATCCGCCTTCATCGTGCGCACGACAGTAGACATGGCACAAGCCGATGGCGGATGCGGACATCGCACTGGGATCAGGTCATCCGTTAGCCACGCGTCCAGATTCTCTGGAGCAGCCACAACGTCACCTTTTCGGTTATACACAATGTTCTCCGTGTCGATGTACGCAGGCGTGATCAGGTCGGTTTCAGCCTTGACAAACTCGGCATCGTACACTTTATCGTGTTCCAGCTGCTTGGTCACATCCTCTACTTTAATCCACTTAGTAGGATCACGTAGAATACGGATCGATCCGATCGTATCGACATCTTCACGGGTATAAATGGCTTTTTCCGGATTGTTTAGCACGTCACGGGGCATGTCAACGGTACCAATGGAGCTCACCCAGCACACAATAGATGTCCCAAATTTCTCCTTGAGCCACTTCTCAGCTACTGCACCAGAAGCAACACGACCAATTGTTTCACGAGCACTTGCACGACCACCGCCACTACTGGCACGAGTACCATATTTCATTTGGTACGTATAATCAGCATGTCCAGGACGTGGTACTTGATCCATTTCCTTGTAATCATTTGGACGTACATTCTCATTAGGTACAAAAAGTGCCAATGGTGTCCCAAGTGTAAAACCCTTTTCTGTACCACTCATAATAGTCACCATGTCCTTCTCATCACGAGGTGTCGTGAGTTTACTTTGACCTGGACGACGACGTGTCAATTGTGGTTGAATATCAGCCTCCGTCAAAGCGAGAGAAGGAGGAACACCATCTACGATGCAGCCTACGCCCTTGCAATGCGATTCGCCAAACGTCGTGACGCGAAAAAAGCGGCCAAATGTACTCATGGTAAGGAAGGATATTTTACGCGTGCGTACAAGATTTTATTTAATAGTGAACGAACGTTACGAAAATGACTGGAACCCCCGGAATACAAGATATTCGTGGTTTATTACCTCTATTTTGCGATATTCTACGACCGACATACTATTAAATTCGTTTCCGTAGACCCCTGGGGTACTATTTTGATATATAATTCGCGCTTTCAGAGCTTTTTAATTCAATTTGTAGTTTTCAAGTTTGTACTGAAGACCTCTTTTCTCACTGACCGGGGGGGGGGGGGGCCGTAGTATCACTGCAAGAAAGAGCAAACAAATGTGCTTTCGCTGAAGAGACTGGATGCAGGATTAACAGGTAGAAAGAATGTGACTTATACTATTGCATATCAAGCAGTTTCGCAACCCATGCTTTTCATCCTGGTAAGTGAAGAGTTAACGCTTAGGTGTACGCTTCAGTTTCCATACGTACTTGGTGGAATCGACTGAATTATATCATGTGCAGTGAACATGTGTTTGTTGTTGGGCACTGCGTTAACGGCTTGAGAATCTCTCTCATACAATCAGCCGAGGCCGCAGTCACAAGTATTCATCATGAACTCAGTTATCATCTTATTGCAGTCAAGTCAATCATTACTAGTTCTCTGCGCCTTCATGTTAGATGTGTTTAGATGACTGGATGCGTGCTATCTTGCTAGATTCGAAATTCGTTTTTTTACTAGATATTCTCTTACATTATAGATCCGTTTCGGAACGCCCGTATCTGGTCTTTTGAATCTCCGATCCGTTGCATAACGCCCACTCAAGCAAGGATGCGTCTAATGTTGTTAAACTTGATACAGTAAAGCCTGTTTAAATGAATACTTTGAGGACGCCTATTTTCTATAAATGTACAGAGTTTATTATATACGATAAGAATAACCCGATTGCTAAGTCCATGCTCGAGATCGAGCCATCTAATTCAACTATGGAGGTTATTGTTGTACGAAGGACTAGGGCTAGACCGGCTCTTGTGTAACTACTTGGTGCCCCCCGGGGATTCAAATAATATGCAAAAAAAGACAGATAAAATCGCGTGGTCAAAAGCGGTCAGAGTTTGAAAGCGTAAACCAAATGCCATTCCTGAATTTCTAAAGTTAAACTAAGATGCAAACCAGTGACCCTGCAATCGATTTTAGACGTACCATCAAGCGCCAGCGTCTAGAAGACCGCAACGTGATTGCTATTAAACCTTTGGTACCACCTGTCTGTATCCTGGAAGAGTTACCCGTTACTCCGCAAGTACACGATTTGGTGGAGGCTACTCGAGACGCAGTGTCTCGCATCCTACACGGCGAGGATGACCGTCTGGTAGTGATTGTCGGTCCATGCTCCATCCACGATGTAGACGCTGCTTTGGACTACGCAAACCGCTTGAAGGAGCTTGCTCAAGAGCTAGCGGGAGAACTGCTGGTGATCATGCGCACGTACTTCGAAAAGCCTCGTACCACAGTCGGATGGAAGGGATTGATCAATGATCCCGACCTCAATCGGTCCTTTAACATTAATAAGGGCATTCGCATTGCCCGCAAGCTTTTGCTTGACCTAAACACGCTTGGTCTACCCGTGAGCCTTGAGTTCCTGGACACTATCTCGCCACAATTCACGTCCGACCTCATTTCGTGGGGAGCTATCGGTGCTCGTACCACGGAATCGCAACTACATCGTGAACTTACCAGTGGCTTATCCATGCCAGTGGGTTTTAAGAATGGTACGGGGGGTGATGCCAAGGTGGCGGTGGACGCGGTTGTGGCTGCGTCGCAGCCGCACAACTTTCTCGGTCTGAGTGGACACGGACTTGCGTCTATTGTGCGCACCAAGGGCAACAAGGACTGCCATGTGATCTTGCGTGGTGGATCGAGTGGCCCCAACTATGAGCAAAAGTACATTGACGAGGCTGCTGCAATGCTGCTGAAGGCCAAGCAGCCGTCTAAAATCATGGTGGACTGCTCGCACGGTAACTCTCGCAAACAGCATGCCAACCAAATTAATGTGGCTCGATACGTGGCTGGCATTATGGCTGAAGGCAACACCAACGTGCTGGGTGTTATGATTGAGTCGAACATCGTGGAGGGCAACCAGCCGCTCGGTGATGACCCGTCCAACCTCGTCTACGGTAAGAGTATCACGGACGCGTGCATTAACTGGAATGACACGGTCACAGTGCTAAAGGAGCTTGCGGTTGCTGTCACTAAGCGGCGCCAATGTGCTTCGGCCTACTAGTTATCCCAATTTCTTACAATGTATTCGATGATAGACAATCACAGACATCAACATGTTCCCGACTTGTTTTACGTTTACAATAATGAGCTAACATGGGAGGTCAACTAACAAAGCCAACTCGACGCGCACTTCAAGCTTCTCTACCGCTGCACCATCAGATGTAGCTCAAAGTTGATTTTCACTGTAAGCTGCAAGCGAGAAGCTCTTGAGAGATCACTTAGAACACCTCTCAGTTCCAATGTCATGGACCACCGCCCTCGCCCAGACTGTTCAAGTGTTATGCGTAGCCTTGAATCACACTCGCGTTAGCTCCTGAGTCAGCTGCTTCTGCACAGCTGACAAAACCCGGACGAGTATAGACCAAAGAAAATAGCTCTGGGCTCTGCTCCATCCACGTACGGCACGTCCGACCTCGCACTCTCTGCAGATGAACGGCTGGCTACCCTCGACTACGAGCCGGACTGTCATCGAACGAGCCTGTCGAAGTTGTTCAGCCGATCTTTCACAATTCACTACGTCCACCGCCAACTCACGTACGTGAAAACCTACCGCTTCACACAAAACGAGACGAGTGCCACAAGCACCTCGGTGCTCAGTCAACCCTGTGTGAGCGACGGTAGACATGCGCCTGAATTCAAGCAACGCCATCACATTCTTGACGGTCGGTCTGCAGGCGTCCTCTAAGGTGAGCAATGACCTGTTTACCTAGCAAGTTTTCCATCTCCAACTTCATACGACGATGTCTTCAAGATGGGTGCAGTGGCTATGACCGCCGCCTGCTTGGAGCCGACTACCGGTAGCCAGATTACGTCGTGGAGCTTGTATGACAGCTGCCTTTCAGTGCCTGGCACCCCGTTTAAGTCCAGAGGTACTGGTTTTGACGAAGATACTCCAGGCTTATAACACAGCGAACGATCAAGTCTCCTTTGTCCATCAAAGATTAGGACGCAAGCAAAAGCGCTAGACCCATATAGATCTTGTAAATCAATGCAATCGCAGCGTAATCGCCCAGCGTGTCCTTCCAAAGCAGATCGTTAATAGCACCTCTAATAACTGTCACCCACTTTATTGGCGGAAGTTTCGCCTTTTGCCGGCTGAGCCAACTTGGTCATGCGTTCAGACACTAAACAGCAGCAGCATTGACAGCAGTAAAGTTGCCCAAGCCCATTAACTCGTCTGCATACTCTGTAACATATGTGAGTCCATCACTGCCTTGGTAACTTACAAGTCAAGCAAATAGCTTCTCTCCATGACTTCTGGTGAGCTGTCGCGACTGATGCGCGCGCTGCTCCCAATTATTTTCCATACCCATCCATCAACACATCAATTACTTGTCTCCATACCATCCATCTAACCATCTCAATTCTTTTACACTCAATAAAGTACAAAACTGAACTTGATGGCAAGTCTCTCGTCCGCGTGTTTTGCACCTCTGCAACCAGCACTAGCAAACAATATGTTCTAACAGGTCTCCACTATCGTTCGTCAGCATTGTGGTGCTTCGTGCTGTACTTCCGACGACAATTCAACGACCAGCCCCATTTGCGATAAAAGCAAAGGGTTCAACAACTCAGTAAAGGGCCAAGCCATGCGTCCGTACGACGAGACTGTGATTAGTCTGTCGCATGAAACGATCGTCACATCCAGTGATTATAACTTCAAGTGAACAACGGCAGTGCTGCCACTTTCGTCTCAACATTTTATTACCAATTGTTTACGCGAAACTCCTCCCGTCCACTGAAAATCAAACCTCGTCTAAACATTCTGAGCGTAAATGTTGAGAGTTGCTGTTTGTGTCTCGTCGACCGACATATGGTTGCAAAGTAGGGACTGACTTGTTGCATGTGACATTAGTAATGGACTGTATCCATTTTAATGATGACGTCAGCCAGCATTGGTTTTAAGAGGTATGCTCTTTCATAGGTCTTTTTACGTCAGCGTCATGACACGGATCCACAATTCGGCTCCAGCGGCTACTTCTATAACAAGGTCCTTTTACGTTGTATCCTTCTACTCGGCAACGGCCGTGACCTTCGGGTAGCGTTCGAGCATCTGCTCCCAGGAAATTGAGCCCCTAACGAGCTTGCTCACCTCGGGGCCAATGGCGTCCATCGGAATCCGAACCTGCACCGTGGAATCGCGCTCACGCAGCGTCACCTCGCGGTCTTTGACCGTATCGAAGTCGATCGTGACGCCAAACGGGATGCCCAACTCGTCCGCGCGGGCGTACTTGCGGCCGATTGCCACGCTGGACGTGTCCACCTTGCACTCCAGCCCCTCCTCGACAAACCGGTGCTCCAGCTCCGCGGCGAACGGGTCGAAAGCCGGATTGTTGCTTAGCGGCAGCACCGACACCTTGATTGGCGCAATAAGAGGCGAAAACGACATTACGCCACGCTTCTCGTCGCCCTCACGGGTCGAGAAGTTGTGCTCGAAGACAGCAGTTAGTAGGCGACCGATGCCGAATGAGGGCTCGATCACTGATGGAACGAACTTCTCCTCGCTCACCATCTTCTCCACCACCTTGATTGCCACCATGTCGCGCTGTAAATTGAACTGCTTGCCGTCGCACAGCGGCCCAAGCGTCGCCTCGCCCTTAGAGGCCAACTCATCCTCGAAGGCCTGCGCACGAGCCACGTCGTCCGTCAGAGCCTGGAGCGCTTCCAGGATCGTAGCCACATCAGCTTTGAAAGTGCGGCCCATCTTGCCCTTGTTCGGCTTAATCTCCACAATCTGGCGCTTCTCGGGCTTGTCAAACTTGTGCGTGCCCACCATCTCCACCTTGCTCTTCTTGGCGTGCACTGACAGATCATAGCAAGAGCGGTCAGCGTGACCGGCACACTCCACCCAGCCGGAGCTCAGCTTGATTTCTAGGTCCCAGCAGTCCGTAGCGTAGTGAGCCATCTCCGTGTCTAAGTGCTGGCGGAAACGCAGGCGCTCCATGTCAATGCCAATGGCCTTGCAGAATAAGTACGTACGTGCAAGGTAATATGCCAGGCTCTCGTTGGCAATGACGCCCTGCTCGACAGCGTTGCCGCACGTCATCTGAACAGCCTTGCCGTGTGTAAGCTGATTTGTCTTGGTCAGTAGAGGCAGCTCTAGGTCCTTTACGGTCGAGAACTTGGCGTGGCTCTTGTCTTTCGGGTTGACGAAGAACTCGATTTCAGCCTGCTGGAACTCACGTACACGCAGGAGTCCAGCGCGAGGTGAGATCTCATTACGAAAGGCGCTACCGATTTGAGCGCAGCCAAAAGGCACCTTGCCGGCGTTGTACTCCAATAGACGACGGAAGTTAAGAAAAATACCCTGCGCCGTCTCGGGACGTAAGTATCCCACCATTCCGCCCTCAGGGCCAATGGCACACTTGAACATGAGATTGAACGGAATGGGACTGCTCAGATCCGCTCCAGTTCCGGGGGCCTTGATACCGTACTCCTGGAACACGGCATGGATCTCCTCGGGTGAATAAGACTCGGCCATAGTAGCATGCATCTCATGCTTCTCGCGCTCCTCTTGGCTCAAGTCTGTGTGCTTCTCGAGATAGTTCTCCACATGGTCCTCCAGTAACTTGTCAGCACGGTAACACTCACCCGACTTGGTACACTTGACCATAAGGTCCGTGAAGCGGTCCACGTGACCTGACGTCTTGAGCACAACTTCAGGCATGAGGTTGGTACACTCGACTTCCAGCAGCTTGTCCGCAAACACAAAGTGGCGGCGCCAGAACTGCAGCAGGTTGCTCTTGAGCGCACAAGCCGGCGGCCCAAAGTCGTAGAATCCACCCACGCCGCCATAGATTTCAAAGCTTGGCACTACAAACATCTTGCGCAGCAGCAGGTCGTCCATCGCCTTCTTGTCGCTCTTACTCAGGCCATCTTTCGCGGGGCCCTGCAGTGCCGTCTGCGTCTCGAGCTCCAGCTTGAGTTTCTTTAGCTGATCCACTGCTGCCTTGACGGACTCAGCTACCGCCCCCTTCTGCTTGAGTTCACGCACTTGCGCGCCTTGACGCGTCACGGACGCTCGAAGCGCGTCCAGATCCACTACCGTCGTCATTTAGCGTAGACTAATATCAAGTTCTTTTTTTACTTGGAATTTGTAACGTGAAGAACACTCGTCCAGTCAAATTGGGACGCAAGATACCGAGATGACAGAACGTAGGTTTTACCCATATGTGTTAGCGGAGACATATCCCGTAAGAAAGGGTTGACGTCCCTACAGCGTCATAACCCTTTTTCTGTACCTTGAAGATTGAGTCGCTATCTAACGATATTCCTTTGTCGCTTGCAGCTCTGTAGCCACATAGAAAGGCAAAAAACAAGGAGGGAGGACATAGCAACACACCCAACCAGCTACTGACGTAGTATCACTCATATCGCAATTTGCGTCATAAGGCACAAACGGCTTGAGGACGTTTTTCCAAGCACATTTTATAAGCACCACCTGTTTATTCGTCATTCAAGATGCTTCGTCACGTCTCGCGACTGCCGAAATCGGTCATGGCCGTCAACCTGCTGCGCTCATCCGTGGCTTTCTCGACCTCCGCCTCACCTCGACCCTCTTCCACTGCGCCTACAGCTGCCGTGACACCCGTCGCGGCACACGATCACTCAACTTTGGTGCACCAGAGCAAAAAGACGTCAGTGGCGACCGAGTTCGAGGACACGAAGCGCATCTTTGCTTCGAAGAGCACCCTTGAGCTCGTACGCGCTTACGGCGTCTTCTATATGTCACAATTTCGTCCTCTTGTGCAACACAGTGGCAAGCTCCTTGAGCTCTCGTACAAGTTTCCGGGTCCCAAATTTACGGACGCGATGCTGCGTGCCACTTTTTTTGGTCACTTCTGTGCCGGTGAAGACGTGAACGAGATCCGCCCCGTGATCAAGAAGCTCGAGGCTGCCGGTATTGGCGCCATTCTCGACTTTGCGGCCGAAGCCGACGTGGAACAGCCGCGTGACCTCAACGGCGTCGACCAGAATTTGGTTTCAGCTCGTACGTACGCGTACGATGGCGAGGCGGCGTGTGACGCCAACGCGGCTATCTCACGCCATGCAATCATTGATGCTAGCGAAGCGTCGTCGGCCGGCGAGCCCGCATTCGTGGCCATCAAGTGCACGGCGCTGGGCAAGCCGGAGTTGCTTATGCGCATGTCTGCCATCATTGTGCAGGCTCAGCTGCTGTTCCACACTTTGGACGGTCCTAACTTTTCGCGCGCCAAGTCCCGTTACCTCGAGCGCATGATTGATTATCCCACACTGAGCGCCGGTCTTCGCAATGCCGGCGTAGACACCAGTGAGGAGGAGATTCAGAAGCTCTTTGACGAACTCGACCAGTCGTCCGGTGACGGTGTGATTGACTACGTGGACTGGGTCAGCTTTTTAGACCCGTTTGATCTCACCATGGGCCCGCTTACTCAGTTCATCGAGGAAGAGCCACTCTCGGACAATGAGAAGACGCAGCTACACAATATGATTGCTCGCCTTGAATCGCTGGCTAATGAGGCCTCGGAGCGTGGCGTGAAGCTCATGGTTGACGCTGAGCAGACCTACATGCAGCCGGCCATCGACCATCTGACGCTGAACCTACAGCGCAAGTACAACCGCGACGGCGCTGACGTCATTTACAACACCTTCCAGTGCTACCTTAAGACGTCGAGCGACCGCATTGACATTGACCTGGAGCGTTCTCGTCGTGAGAATTTCCGCTTTGCTGGCAAACTAGTGCGCGGCGCTTACATAGTGCAGGAGCGCAAGCGTGCGCGCGACAAGGGATACGCCGACCCGATCCACGACACCATTGAAGATACACACGAGAACTATGACGCCCAGGTATCGAAGTTATTGCGTCATAACCACTTGGCCAGCTTCATGGTGGCGTCGCACAACGAGAAGTCAGTTGTGAAAACGGTGCAACAGATGCAGGACATTGGTATTAGTCGTGCTACTGGCGGCGTGTACTTCGGCCAGCTACTCGGTATGTGCGACCACGTTTCGTACACCCTCGGCACGAACTCTTACAAGGTGTTCAAGTACGTGCCGTATGGTCCTATTCATGAGGTGCTGCCATACCTTATCCGCCGTGCCCAGGAGAACTCGGGCCTCATGAGTGGTGCTCAGTTGGAGATGCGCATGTTGAGCACAGAGATCAAGCGTCGCATGTTTGGATGAACGCTGTGACGGTATGATCACGAGAGAGTGAGTTTGTAGTTCGACCTTGGATGGAAGAAGGCCGGCAATGGTGCTTAACGTATTGACGGAAACTCCCGCTCGGTTTCAGCCGAAACGAGAGAACGTGGAAGCAGAGAAGTGGCGGCAATGTCATTAACAAGAGAACCAGTTGGGTAAACCTGGCGATTGAAGCATGACGAGAGACGACTTGGAAACGTCAAGTCGTACTGTACTAATAAAGGAACGAAGGCTTTGGCCTTGCACGTCACGGAGGCGTGTAGTCTTCGCACAAGAGTTGAAGGTGATTGTGCTGTGTAGCGAGACCGATGAAAGATGCATATGAGAAAATCGTAACCCGGAACAACCCAATTCAATTTGATGCCGTGACTCGTGAACTATGTGCTGATGCAGGTGTCCAAACCTTACACACGTACTGTCGTAGTGTAAGTGCAAACGCCGTAACGAAGACACCGTATGCCTTTCGCCGACTGCGTGTTGCCTAGTAGTGTCGTTCCAAAGCAGCTCGTCGATGGACTTCTGATACTTGCAGCGACTGATCCATAAACGTTAGCATACTCCTCGTCACCACAACTCTTGCGTCATTTTCACAGCCATACCAGCACCTCGTACTTGTGCCAGTGCCTGCGGTAATTTTTGTCCATGTGACTTTGGCGAACGTAGTTCAGTAAATTGTAGTAGGCATTATATCGTAGAGGAAAAGGTTAGGCGTGAACATCGGCATTTGGTACGAATGAAAGCACTGTCGGCTAGTATCGTCATGACATAAATTCTCAAATGTCTTGGTTTATGTTAACTTCTGATGGAAGTAATCTATTATCGTCATTTATAGTAGTATACTATTCTTCTGTATTACATTATTCTTCATATTTCTAATATTACACGTAACGCCAAAAAGAAGCATGGGTCGTGGTGAGTACTATCGCAACAAGTATGGCGGTCGAGGCCGTGGAAGTGGTCGTGGACGTGGACGTGAAGATCCTAAAGGTTGCAACCGTAATGATCACTACAATGAACGATCACATACGCCATTAATTACATCTTCATGGAAAGAATTAGGTGACATGCTACAGCAATTAAACAATCGAAATTATGGTGCATATCACGAATTGGAACGTGTGTTTGAGTATCAAAGCAGAGTTAATGAGTCCCTTTGCTTCTCTCTTGAATTTGGTTATATTCAAGGCGATCCGTACGCAAGTCCATCACGTGCTCACGTGACAGTCTCATCTGTCTCGGCTGCTTTTCCAATTGAAATGCACGACGACAGGACACGTAATGTCGCCTTGTGTGACTATTTAACTCGAGTCTTTGCTGCAAGTGCACGTAGTTATGGAGCCGATGCCAAAACGGTTAGTAATTCGTGGCAAGGAGCTAAGGGTGGTGATATTACGATTGATGCTCCGGGTCAACACGTGATTGAACGTTCAAGTGTCAATGTATTGACTAATGGAGATATTGAGGCCAGATTTAACATCAACTTGCCGGCACGTGGTCGAAGTATTTGTGGAGACTGGGCATATACAATTCTGGTAGAAACTTTGCCAAAGTTGGTGGAACACTCGTTGATGCTAAAAAGTCTGGATATGAGTCATTTGATGAAGCATTTGCAGTCGGTGGAAGATCAGGAAACATTGAGAGGAATGCTCAACGATGCAGGACTCGTGGGCTTTGTTCGAGATGGAGCTGTGCTCCCGAGACAGTCTGGAGCTTCGGATTTGCCACTGAGTAATGACAAGGCGATTCTGTTCAGGTCACCCGAGTCGTTGAGCAGATCATTTACGCTGCCAAACTGTGGAATAGTCACGGGTATGGGCATCCCTCAGGGTGTCACGCTGTTTGTCGGTGGAGGGTTTCATGGTAAGAGTACAGTGCTTAAAGCGCTGGAGGTGGGCGTGTACAATCATGTACCGTCGGACGGCCGTGAATTCGTTGTTGTGGATCCGAACGCAGCAAAGATTCGCTCTGAGGATTCCCGTAGCGTCGTGTGTACCGATATTAGCGCATTTATCGATAACCTTCCGTTTAAGCAAGATACAACTCGCTTTTCTACTGCTGATGCTTCTGGCAGCACGTCACAGGCAGCTAATATTGTCGAGGCCCTGGAAGTGGGTGCAACGACACTGTTGATTGACGAGGATACGTGCGCCACCAACTTCATGATCCGTGACTGGAAGATGCAGCAACTAGTGGCTGAAGACAAGGAACCCATTACACCTTTCATCTCGAAGGTGCGCGCACTCTACACACAGCATGGGGTATCGTCTGTGCTAGTCATCGGTGGCGCTGGCGACTACTTTTCTGTCGCCGATCATGTGATCATGATGGACTCGTATCAGCCACGAGATGTCACCACTGCAGCCAAGAAGATTGCGAGCGAGCACGGCGAAATCCGACAGGATGCTCAGTTTGGCGGGTTCAAATCTCGCATTCCTTTGGGCAACGGCTTCGAAGTCAATGGCAAGGTCATCTCGCGCGGACTGGGCAAAATCCAGTATGGAGAAGTATGATACGACATCGTGTGCGGTGGGGGACATGCTTCGATACAGTGACTGACTTGTATTGTCCTGCGATTCGATACATACATCTTGTATTGTAGGTGGATTTAAACTTGACTGCCGTCGAACAGATCGTCGAGTCCAGTCAAGTGCGCACGATTGCAGACGCCATTCAAAAGGCTCGCTCTTTGATGGATGGGAAGCGTACGCTTAAGGTACACACAAACAGCTATCTCTGTGATTGTCTGCACATGCTGATAATGTTCTCCTTTTTCGTACTTGCAGGAGGTGTTGACCATGCTTGAAGGTGAAATTGATCGTACAGGTTCACTTGATGTTGTTGGCTGTTACAAAAAGTCTGGATTCTACACTCGGCCTCGTAAACTTGAGGTGTGTGTGTTGCTTGTTATGTCTGCTGACACTTGTCGTATTCTAGGTACTCACATATGTCTGGATGTAGCTGGCAGCCGCTATCAATCGTCTTCGAACAGCAACGATGACGCAGCAGAGTAACGAAGTACTGTAAATATTGCTGGAACTAACGCACTGCCATATAGTACTGGAGCGTCTCATATAAGTATACCATGCTTGTTTTTTGGGAAGCCTCATATGTAGCTATTATTGGCTCGGCCCCTTCAACATGTTGACTATTATTGTTTTTTTACGAAACTAGCTGTGGTTATTACAAAATGTTACTTCACATGCGTACAAACCAATCTCTAAATCATGTATATTCCTATTCTAGCCACATAAATTACTCGTATGCCATCCTCATCGTCTCCAGTGCTTGAGGACGTATCCTCCAGTGCTTCAACTGCCTTAGTTTCTCCACCCTTAGACTCTAATGCATCTCTTGACTCTTCCACCGTCTCTAATAATGTACTAGAAGCCTCCAATATCCCTGACTCACTCTACCTCGTGTCTCCCGCTTCTTTAAACGTCTCTAGATTCGCCCCATTTGAAGAGAGTTACAACGACATGAATGAGCTCCGACGAGCGCTGAAAGTGCTTTCTGTACAGAAAAATGCCCCTTATTATATGCAACATAGCAGTCCACAACGTGTCGAAGCCCGTTGTCCGTCCTGGAGACATCGGAAACGTCAAGTAGATGCCGCCAAGAGCTCTGAAGTAACACTAAGGAATCGCTGTGAGTTTGTCGTCTCGGCCAATCGTCACGCTAATGGACGAGTATATGTCACTCGAGCAATTGTTACACATTCGTCGACATGTGCAGTACTTCATGCTCGACTTGCAGCTAGTACAGAAACAGGCACACATGAAACAGGAACAGGAGCTGAAGATACTGGACGTGCATCGGCCGTCACGGCCTCGGCACTTTTAGAAACGGTCTTACCGTTTATGAGTCAATTAGCCACTTCTCGAGGTGGACGAGATGCCGTGAAACCAAAAGATGTGAGTGCCATTATGAAGGACAAATTTGGAGTCAAACCGTCGTATATGACGGCATGGAGAGCGTTGAGTGCATTTCGAAAACAACAAAAGGAAGACGATTCGTTGTCGTATATGAAGTTAAAAGGATATTTGCATGCATTTGCAGTGACAAATGTGGGAAGTTTGGTAGCATTTGAACATCAAGACAACACACGGACGACACTTTTGGCTAGGACTAATCCGGATGCAAAACTCTTTGCACGTGCGTTCTTGTGTCCAAAACCACTACATGATGCACTGAGATATTGTCGTGGATCGATGTTGCTTAGTGTTTTCTTGGTGACGTCGACGTTTGGAGGAGTTGTGTTTACGGCAACGGCACAGGATGCCATGGGTGACAATGTACCAATGGCTATTGGTCTTGCAATTGAGGAGAATGAAGACGAATGGCGGTTTTTCCTGCAGCAACTGCGACATGCTTTTCCTGATTTGGAGCGCGTAGTGACATCGCTCGTGCACAATCGCGGCGATCAACTTGCTCGCGCTATTCATACTGTATTTCCCAACTCGCCGCAGTCCAATGATGTTGATTTTTTCATACGCACCGCCACGCATGACGCTCCTTTCTCGGACTCGTCTTCTGGTACCTCAATTACAATTGGAACGCATGGTCCAACATTGCGTCTAGATCCGTCTATGCAGTGGATGGAAGCACTGTGTACTAAATCTCCACTCATGATCCTTGTCGGTTGGGTCTCTCAGGTGGCCAGAACACTATTCCAGCGCTACGAACGCTACGGACACCTCAGCTCAGAGTACCCTGCTGAGTTTCACTCACTCGCGGCAGAATACGAAGGGGTATCGTCGCGTTTTGACGTAGTACGCACTTCCGAGAGCGAATTTGAGGTTATCGACCAGCAGACCAGCGTCGGTCGGGTAGTCAACTTTGCAAAGCAGACGTGTACTTGCGGCGAGTACGACGTTGCGCGCTTTCCGTGTCTTCATGTGTTCCTTGCGGTGACACACGCCGGTATGCTTCGGACAGACGTGATTCCACGCATCTTTCTCATGACATCTCTGAAAACGCTTTATGCTGGACGCATAACGCCAATTGATATTAGCAATGTGCCGTCAGACGAGATCACGATTCCGCAGCCGTTGCCAAAAACGCGTGGCCGGCCGCGCAAGGTACAGCAAATTCAGCAATTTGGTGACTTAAAGCAGGAAAAGCTTTCATGCAGTGTGTGCGGCGTGAAAGGACATAACAAGCGCACTTGCAAGCGTCTTACCAATATGTCTGTCCCGACTGCCAGCACTGCTAATGTTGGAGAGGTGCAGGCGGATGACGTGGTCAATGATCAAGACGACACCACGTTCCTTGTGTCTACATGTACGAGCGGAGTATCATGATATTGCTTGAGTCGGTTGGCGATTTACTGACTGTGCGTTTACATTTTCCTACGATCTGTAGATGGTGATGCTCTCGCTTTTGACAACCCGGCACTGGGAGGCAATGGATCGGAAAGCCACATCAGCAACGGGCAGGTTCTACACCTAGGCTCAAGCAAGCGCCGACGCCTGACTGATCATGACGGCACGGCGGAAAAGAAAGCCGATGAAGACGACGAAGACGAGGCCTCCGGTGTCGCGCTGGTATAAACAACCTTCATGTTCTTTGTGCGCTGTAACTTGTTGTTAATGCATGTTGTCCCTTTCCATCATGGATACTGTGTCATGAGAATCAGCACTAGCTTGTGACGAGGGCGCGGATATCACTTAATTTCGTTGCCAGCAGGAAGCTGCGCTTTTGCAGTTTTATAACTTTCAGCAAGCTACGTTTGGCGACACTCGTCATGTTGGCCAACCTACAAGGTTTGCATTGGATGTTTCCTGCTTTAAGTGGTTTTGAAGATACTTAATCGGCTCGTCATCCACGTTGCAACGTAGAAATGCACCTACAACGATCACAAGCAAGCTTTTGTCATGCGGTTCGACTAAATTGCGTTCCTCACCGTGGCTGCTTGCCAAACAAACACATCATCTCTGCAGAGTTCATCTCAATCTTCATGGAACAATATCAACAATGTCCTGAAGAAACAAACGTGTTGGAACATCTTCAGTGTCCCCAGTTCATCAAGCAAGGGCAGTGAGCACGTGCACATGTTGCTCAACTCTCCCCAACCTCAATACGGACACCGTCATCCAGATTTTCGAGAACGTATCAACTCCATTTGACTATTACACCCCAAGCTTTTGCCTCCCCGACCTGGTATGGTGACTTGAAACCTGGAATAACTATCTATCAAGACGTGCTTCTACGACTGGATGCAAGCCCTAATTTTGTGGGCTGCAAATGCTGGAAACATGAATCCAACATCAAGCTTGCCGAGAAGATTATCACGGAGCTCAAGTACGCGTGGAATTTCTCTCCGGAAATGCAGATCAAATTTTACGAACAAGACACTAGTGGCTCCTAGCAGCGGGCGTCATACCACAGCGAAAAAAGTTAGCACCAAATGAGCTTAGTGTTTTCCACACTATGACAAGTTGACACCGCGTTTTGGACTGAAGATGGTGGCCACATATGCAGACGGTTCGTAGTAAAGGTGACAAATTCAAGGAAGCGGACGGCCAACGAAGAAAATCGAAGCAGCCTAAGAAAAAGCGGATAGCTGGCAAGCTGGCAGCCGCTCTGTCAGACTTGAGCTCAAGCAAGCCAGCAACTAAACTGCAGCTCCCGTCACTGGAACCCCGTTACAATGTTTTTTGTCTTCATTGCAACCAGCACCAATTTCCACAATTGATTGCTCGTGATCATTATAAATTCAATTCCACGTCAAAGCTCCATATATGTATTCATTGAACATCTTGTTTGCTATGTTAATCCCGTCCTTCCTGGCCGACGGTCAGCGAATGCAACTGGTCCGAAGACAACATGCTCGGGTTTTTCCTGCAGAAACCCACAAAGCCTCGCAACTTTATCTTGCTCTCAGCTGGACAAGATTTGATTGCGGTCTGCACCTTCGGGTGCGTCAGAATTTTCGTCAAAGCCGCTGCGAACTTTGGTGAGAATGGCGGTGCAACACGCGCGAGCAGCATCGTGATAAAATTGCGAAGCAACGCTTGATCCAGCTCGAGCGTGTTAGTAAAAATAAACTCCAATACGGGCAGCACGTAACCACTCGTGATCATGTACACCATGCATCGCAGCGTCTCCCGCTTCAACTCTAGTGCTTTCACCGGGTTATTTTCAGGGTGTAGCCGAAGCGATGTCACCAGCACACCAAAAGAGATTGGCCACTGTGCAACGTGAAGCTTGATAGAAGCCTTTAATATTCGGAGCAAACTGGGAAAGCAAATGTGGAGAGGCGTGCTGCTGAAGAAACCAGGTGATGTAAGAATAACCTCCAACCAGTGCAACACGCCCATGGATACAACAGGGACGGACATCACCGAGATCAGCTTGTCCACCACTTCCGACTGGTTCATCTATCAATCAATCGATCACAAGTTGGTCAGCTTCGAGGAAATGCACTACAGTTGCATGCGCATGCAAGCGTGTATAAATATTCACAGCACTTACATTATAGCCAATGGTGTGATCTGACTTGCATATCGCTGAGGCTTCGACAAGCGCTTTCTTCGTGGAATCAACGCCATCATCATCGACTTCAATCTGATCGGACAATCCGTGAACACCAGTCTGCAGTAAGCTCCGTTCATCCTTCGTAGACGCCGCGTATGCCACCAGAAACACGCAGTTCTGCACAAATGTCAGTGGAATTGAGTCGGATGGGTTGAAAAGTCGATCAAGTAAACTTGACAGGACCTGTAAACAGCCATTCACGTCAACAACATACGTTATAAATGTAAGCATCTCCTTAAAGTGCACACAAAAGATTGTACCATAGAGTCTCGCAAATGGGCAACCGGAGGCGGGGTCTTCGACGTCTGGTACTCCTTTGCCAAGGTCTCTGCACTCAGTTCTGAGCATGTCTTTGTCTTGACGATCGATAAGATCGCATCACAAAACTTTGGGTTCGCATCGTAAATATATCGCCGGCGCAGTATATGAAATGGGACGATTTTAGCGCCAAATCTGCGACTTGCTGTCTCTTGGAGCTCACCACGCACACGATTCAACTTTGAGCGCATCATGCGTATATGAGAGTACTCTGAACTTTCAACGCCGACGTCTTTCTGCATTAAATACAGCTTGTCGTCTATAGAGTACAGAAGCTCTTGTGTGTAGACATACGAGTGCGAAGACTGACAGCAGACCTTATTGAGGGCAGCAATATCTTCCACCACTTCCTCCTCGTTGGCCAATGGAATCTGCCAAACAAATTAACAGAAACGGCGCTTTAGCATTTACGCTCGTACGGAAATCATGATGACAAAAATCCTTACTCGACTGAATGCATCCACAAGCACACCGCTGAATACTGGAAAGAATGCATTCGCACTCGTGATCGATGCAATCTCTTTGTGGTGCCCCGCTTCTGAAATTCGTCGAATCGCATATTGTAGCAATGTACACGTCTTGAGAACATAGCATCAAGAGCAAGATGATCAGCGTTTGCAGCCTTAATAATCAACAAACGTATACAAACCTTGTGTGTTTCCGCGAGCTGAATTAGCATAAGTCGCCACTTGCGATCGTTAAGCATTTTAGTCAGCCACGCAGGCTCCACCGCCGAACCACTGAGTACATTCGATACGAGTTTCGGGTCGTAGTTCTCGTTAATAACGTCTTTCAAATGATTGTACAGAATCTCCTCGGCCGGGTCCCACGTCGCACCCTTGTTCGCAATAACTGCTCCTTCATTCACATCAAACGTCATCTTATTCTCCAACGCTGTCGTCGAGACAGGCAGTGCGTCCAACCAGGACGCAACGAGTCCGATCATCTGGGCATGACCACGGTACGACGACGACAGTTTTTCCACTAAAATCTCTGGTCCATTCGACTCCGTATGTGCTCTCAAAAATCCATTGATCACGGACAACACATTGGCTTCCATGATAGCATCTGTCTTGGACAATTCATGCAACAATCTTGTTGCTTCTTTACCATCGACCGTATCCTTCTCCTTAATCTCTCTAGTCAAATCATTCGCTACAATCTCTTCATCGTCCCAAATAATCAGTCGCTTTTCATCCTGTCGACGTCGTTTTCTCGGATTCTCACACGTCACAACTTCGACTTTTTCTCGTTTTGATTTTTTCTTTTTCTTTTTCAATGGCAGTACCATCTGATTCGTCTCTTCGTCTTGTACCATCTGATGTGTCCCATCTTCCATCATCTGATTCCCCTCTGCTGTTATCTCCATATTCACTTCGTTACCGTCTCGAATCAGATTCTTCTCGTCATTCTTTTTCACTTTATAACGATGTTTCTCGTGTCGTTTCTCTCGAGCAGCAGTAGCTCCTGCATGTGGTTTAATCTCGACTCCTTCTGGTCGCTGCCATTGCGTTTTCCGACTCGTTCGATTGTAATAATAAGCACGTTCATTCTTCGGGTCCCAAAGTTCTTCCCATTCGCTTTTCTTGGCTTCAAAAGACGCAATCGACGGCGTCCCAGGCTCCGTAGAAACACCTAAACCTTCTCCATCATAGGACGATGGCTTTTCCCATGCACTTTGCTTCGTATGGCGATTGTAGTAGTACGTCCGTCCTTCCTTCGTTACGTGAGCGCTCCAGACATTCGTCATGATTGTGGGGACACGAAAGTTGACTTGATATTTGTATGGTACTGGTATATAACTAATTTGATTGGTGGATATAAAATGATTTGTTTCATTTTGTTTTATTTTTGACGAATCGAAAATACAAAAACGAGGTGTTTTATTTAACCTTCATAATTTTATTTTCATGTCGAGTGACGAAGACGACACGAAGCTCCATACTGGATATCATGGTTGGATGAAGACAATCCCCAAGACGTCCGAGGTGTGTGTGCTGTCAAATTTTTGTATAATATGTTACAGATTAATAATAGTGTCATTGTGGACCGTAGGACTTTACTCCCATGCGGATCAACGAATCGAAAACGACAGTTCATCGAAGCGACCTTCGCTCCGTCTGGAACAGTGCTGGCACTTGGTATACTATATTGAAGTGATTTAGTATTTATTTTCACAGGTTTTTTTTTGAAAAAGGTAGTAATTTAACTATGTGCTATAGGGAAGAACGTGATAAATCGGAATGGGCTCGTGAACGGCTAAAACATCACCTTTTGACGTCTTTTGGCTTTGAAGATCAAGCACTGGGACTTTCCATTGAGGTCACGTCAATTGTGCGCTGTGAAGGAGACGCTAAGGTACGTCGAATTCAAGTATCTTGGTGTGTGTCTGGGCTGAGAGGTATTTGTTGGAATCAGGTCGTGTTTAGTCGTGGGAAGAAACGTTGCGGCTACGAACTGTCGGTGAAATTTGCATGGCAGAGCAGTGATGCGGTGTCGGGTCATGTCGAACTCCAGGACTTTGATGATACCAATGGAGATGATTTTGAAGTACTTGTCACTACAAATGGTGACAGTGAACAGGATCTGATCGTGAAGAAGGCTGTGATCAACAAGGAGTCGGAGCTGCGTAAATTGCTTGCGCTGTGGAAAGAGGAATTGCTGCAGCAATAAATCAAACTCAATACACTTTGTGGACACATGTGGTGTGTGCACAATTGGTGCACGGACTCTCCGTCGAATCTCTATACCAGCTCCATCAGTTCATTCTTTGCGTCGCTAAGGACCGTACTCCACTCCGTTTTCAGCCTCAGAGGAGACAGCTAGATCCGATTACTAGTGACACAACTGCGTTATCCGATTTGATCTACTATCGCTCTAGTGTTTGTGAGAAGAGTTTTTTACCGATCAGGAATCGGGCAATGAGAGACAAATTCGTTCAATTTCCGGTTCGACATGTATTGGCTCATTTGTAACCTTCCTCTTCGATCGTCCCCTTTTAACGGATTGTAACAGAATGCAACACTCGCCTAGTGGTCCACGGCCTTGAGGACACGAAGGGCAGGGCGGTCAAAAAGGCTGGGGGCCGAGCGGCCATTATAGAACTTAACCAGCTTGCGGGCCTCGTCGGCAACGGTGTTTGGGTTGAAACCAAAGTGCTCCTTCAGCTGCGCGATTGTGGCTGAGGCACCGAAGCGATCCAAACCAAATTGAGTGTGCGAGTAGGTGGACCAGCCAAAGGTGGCGCCAGCTTCAACGCTCATCGAGGGGATGCCCTCACCGAGGACCTCTTTCTTGTACTCGTTGGACTGCTCGTCAAATAGATCGCGGCACGGCGCAGACACGATGCGCACCTTGTAGTTGGTCAGCAGCTTGGCAGCGTCGAGCGAGAGCGACACCTCCGAGCCAGAGGCAATCAGGACCAGGTCCGGCTCGCCTTCAAGCGACTCCACCTCGGCTCCGTTAGCAACGTTGGCCACGATGTAAGCACCCTTGGCAACAGCCTCGGCAGTCGAGTTAGCCAGGTTCGGCAGACCTTGACGGGTAAACGCAAGCACGGACGTCTTGTGCTGGTTTTCCACGGCGGAAATGTAGGCACCCACCGTCTCGTTACCGTCTGCCGGGCGGTAGACGTACATGTTGGGCATTGCGCGCAGCGCCGCGTTCATCTCAATAGGCTGGTGAGTCGGGCCATCCTCGCCCAGGAAGATCGAGTCGTGCGTTGCGACGTAGATCACACCAAAGCGCGACAGAGCGCTCAAACGCACGGCACCCATAGCGTAGCCGATGAAGTTGTAAAAGGTAGCGCAGAACGGACGCACACCGCCGTGAGCGAACAAACCGTTCGATATGGCGGCCATGCCGTGCTCGCGCACACCGAAACGAATGTAGCGGCCAATGGGAGTGTCCTTCTGGAAGTCGCCTGACATGGAAAGATGCGTCAGGTTGGACGGGGTGAGATCGGCCGAGCCGCCAACAAGCTCGGGCAGAGCCGTTGCGACTGCATTCAGGGCGATCTCCGAGTACTGGCGGGTAGCCTTGGTGGCGTCCGCGGTCGTGTACTTGGGCATGTTATTCTTCCAATCCACAGGCAACTTGCCCTCCATACGGCGCGTGAACTCAGCAGCCTCCTTGGGGTAAGCCTCAGTGTACTTGGCAAACAGCTCGTTCCACTTGTTCTCGTGTTCGGCACCCGACAAGGTCTTGTCGTAATACTTCTTAACCTGCTCCGGGATAAAGAAGGACTCCGTTCCCTTGAAGCCAAACTTTTCCTTGGTCGCCGACAGGTCATCCGGCTTCAGCGGGGCACCGTGCACCGAGTGGGTGTTCTCGAGCTTCGAGCCAAGACCAATGGTGGTGCGGATCTTAATAAGCGACGGCTTGTCCGTCACAGCCTTGGCCGTATCGACAGCCTTTTGGATAGAGGCATGGTCGTAGTCGCCATCCTCGACGACCTGGACGTGCCAACCGTACGCCTCGTAACGTTTCTGTACGTCCTCAGTAAATGAGAGGTTGGTATGGCCGTCAATTGTAATCTTATTGTCATCATACAGCACGATAAGCTTGCCCAGCCCCAGGTGGCCTGCCAACGATGAGGTCTCCGAGGATACTCCCTCCTGCAAGCAACCGTCACCAGAGATGACGTACGTGTAATGGTCGACAATATTTAGGCCGTCCTTGTTGAACTCAGCTGCCAGATGCTTCTCAGCAATGGCAAGACCGACAGCATTTGAGATTCCCTGACCCAGTGGACCCGTAGATACCTCCACACCAGGCGTGCAAAAGTTTTCCGGATGGCCGGGAGCCTTGGATCCCCACTGACGGAACTTCTTGAGCTCGTCAATGGGCAAGTCGTAGCCCGTCAGATGCAGCATACTGTACTGCAGTGCACAGGCGTGTCCATTCGACAAGACAAAGCGGTCGCGATTGCTCCATTTGGGGTTCTTCGGGTTAAACTTCATGGTATTACCAAAGAGAACGTGAGCCATGGGAGCGCAGCCCATTGGGGCACCTGGATGACCAGATTTGCCAGCGGTTGGCTGGTCAGCCGATAGCATACGGATCGTATTAATGCACAATTCTTCGCCAATGCGGGGTTTCTTGTCCACGTGATCAGCCATAATTACAGAAAAAGAATAAAAAGTAAAAAAGAAGGAAATCACTTGAGCTCTAATGGAGAGATTTCGAAATGAGCTGCTGGTCCGCGATCCAAGCAAACCACGTCAGAGCTCGGCGTTTTTGATTGGTGGTAAGTGATTTTGACCAATGCAAAGACGTTCTGATACGTAAACAACTCCCTACATCCTGGATCAATACCTAACGGCGATGACGCAATGGACTCGACACGTCCTGTAGAACATCGTATTGACGACCACTTCATTTATAACAACTCTAGTGTCAGGTGTGTGACAATTGAAGAGACAGGTGATGGTGAGAAGGTGGCACAATGAAACGTTATCATAACAATATCATTGTAAAGACGTTACAAGCGATCTAACGGTAGCACGTCGCCATGCGGGGTTTTATCATTCATTCATTCGGAGCTAAACAACAACACAAGCTCCTAAGCGGATGACTGTCTGCAGTGCAAGAGTATACGAGTACTTGCATCGAAGAATAAATGCTGATGGTAATAAGATACATTCGAGTTCACATTGTGTTATATGTAAAAGTATCTGTAAAATTAGTTATACATGATCGCTGGCGCTTCAAGAGCACGCTCCTGTTATATCATACGGGTAGATCAATGATCATCACAATGTAACCCTCGATCGTCCTATGTAGCTCAAATTTTATTTTTGCTAAAAGCAGACCACATACATTCATTAAGCTGCATTTGCGTTTTGGGTGTTTTTCCTGTAATTTTGTAGGCATATTAGATCTCAAAGATACTTTTCTAGTGATATTTATTAAATGTTCTGATTGTTCACAATGCAAAAGCATCTCGTTCATCGAAATTACGATAAAAACTTAGAACATGTCACAGATTATATAAATTATGGACTTTCTGATCAACTCCACTACTACTGCTGCTACTGGGCGAAAGTTTCAGGCATTGTGGCCCGACTGCTGGCAAATCCGACATTGCCGGCGTCGTTGACACACCCGTGGCTTGCAGAGGGGTGATCAGTCCGCAAGTCTTGCTTGAGGGGGTTTGCGGAGTCAAAGGTAAATTTGAAAATGTGTATTTGTTGGAGGGTTATATGGTAGGCTAGACTAACCCAACTAATGAAAGTACTTGCGCAATCATCTTGTTCATCATCTTGGTCATCGTCTTGGTCATCGTCTTGGTCATCGTCTTGGTCATCGTCTTGGTCATCATCTTGGTCATCATCTTGGTCATCATCTTCTGTTCTTGCAGGTCATTAACCATACCACCTGTGCCCATGATCTGTGAGAATCAGCATGGAAAAATGCGGCGGATACTCACACGCTCGTTCGCTTTGCCCTTGTCTATCGTGACAGTTCCGTTGTCATGAACTGCACGTATTAAAAACGGTCCTTGTGCCACGGCGTGAAGCTTCGCACGAAATTGTTTGGGCATCCTGCGGCAGCTCGGCGTACATTTGAGCAAGCTCTCGCAGACGTGCCGAGCAGCGTTGAGCTGATTCGTCTCGGCGCGGATAGGGTCCATAGCTCCTCATCTAGGTCTTCACTGTAGTCCGCAGGAACCAGGAGTAAGCCGACCTCACGGTAGAAGTCTTCAAACGTATGTCCTTTCTCGGAAGATTCGCTGGCGATGCTCTCGACCTCGCGCGATAGATCTCCGTCGATCAGCGTGAGCAGCTGAACGGTGAGTTGGTCAGCACCCCAGCCTTTTCTTTTCGCGAGGCTCTTGAACTTCATGCTCCATTTGAGCCAGTCCTTCGCAGATCCTCCGCAAAAGCGTTTAATCTTCAGCTTGGCGAAGTCAGCTGGTGCGGTCGCGCTTTATTGACACGTCACGATCGTGTACGTGACGTACTCATCTTCATTGTTCCGTCCCATGTTGAAGGCGACGGGATTCTCGATCTTAATTGGCCAAATTTGATATATCAAAATGACACACCCGTGGCTTGCAGAGGGGTGATCAGTCCGCAAGCCTTGCTTGAGGGGGTTTGCGGAGTCAAAGGTAAATTTGAGAATGTGTATTTGTTGGAGGGTTATATGGTAGGCAAGACTAACCCAACTAATGAAAGTACTTGCGCACTCATCTTGGTCATCGTCTTGGTCATCGTCTTGGTCATCGTCTTGGTCATCATCTTGGTCATCATCTTCTGTTCTCACAGGTCATTAACCATAGCACCTGTGTCATCGTACAAGAGCTTTCAAAGCAGCGGAAATATGCCCAAATTGTGAAAAAGTCGCTATGCTGACTCCAAATTGGCCGACCACGTGTTTTAAAGTCCGGTAAGCACGTACTGAACTGTGCTTACCGGCCTTTAGGACAGCCAAGACATTGATAGACCCGGCTCGTGGCTGACAGTGGAGCTTAAGTCTGAGGAAGAAATGGCGAATACATACTGATTGAGAGCAAACATTAGGTAGGCTAGTCTGGAGCAGTCAGAAGCAAACTAGTATGGTGCAATCATATTTTGGTGCAATCATCTTTTGGTGCAATTGAAAGGAGTTTCTCGCAGGGGTCACCCATGTCATAATGCAATGACAGCATGGATGATGATGATGAACAGCTAGTTTTACTTTTGGGAAGTTTATCATCCGAATATGATGATATGGTGCGCATCATCGAGGCGCACAGCAACGTGACGCTGTTGGACGCAAAAGAGATACTCCGCCGGGAGTATGACACTCTTTAGAAGTGAGACAAAAAGGAAACCGATTTTAAGGCATATGCTCAGCGTAATGAACCTCGACGCTTTCAAGGTAACTGAGGAAACCGAGGACAAGAAGCAAATCGAGATTCTCCTCTGTACCAACATTCTAGAAGAGAAAAGGCTAATGCGAGTTTTCAAGGCAAGTAATTTGGATGTGGACGGCACGGACACAAAAGATCGCAGTGTCGTAACGTGAAACCATCGACCTGGTGATGAAGTCGCTGTTTTGGCATTCAGTGGCGAACCAATTTCGAGTCTAACTTGGTTGCTGGATAGTGGGGCAAGTCGTCATATGACTGATGACAAGCGTGAATTTCTGGAATACGAAGATTTAAGTACCCCAATTTTTCATCACTGTGACGAATGGACATCGGTTGAAGACACAAGGAACAGGCACAGTTCGATTTATACTCGAGAATGGTCGCACAGTCAAACTTACGGAGGTGTTACATGTGCCTGGGGTAGACAAGAAATTTGTGTTTGTAGCAGCGTTGACGGCCCGAGGCGTGCTTGTTCAGTTTAAGTGCGATCAAGCAGTTTTGATAAGTGAAAACGTGGCTGTAGCAGTAAATAAACGAGTGGGAAAATTCTTTGCGTGAAATTTGAAACAATATATCACATTAGAGGCACACAAGGCTGAGAGCAGTGGAGCGATAGATGACACTAGTGGACTATGGCACGCTTGCCTCGGTCATGTGTCTACGAACAAGGTTATGCAAGCGATGAAGTCTTGCGATGGTATTTCGAGAGTTGTTGCACCTGATGGCGGCGTGTGTGATGGATGTGCACGCGGACGAATGACAAACAGCCCGTTCAGTCATACTTCAGGAAGTGAAGTTTAAACAAGTCGACTACTTGAGGTTGTACATACCAATCTTATGGGACCTCTTGCTCAATGCAAACATTTTCATGATGTTTCAGACGAAGTAAAGGTGGGAATACCTGATTCGAACGAGTATCACGAGGTTGACGATATGGACGTTAAGGAGACTGCTGATAATGATACTAGATGGGAAGACATGGTTTTGGATGCGTCTGGAGATCTCAATCAGTCACACAACTTAGATGTTGCTTCGATTGAGGGGGAGCGCACAGACATACAAGTCATTGACGCAAACAACTCAATGAAAAGTCGCGCTCCACACGAAACGGTCGCTGGAAGTAGCAATAATAATACACACATGCTCTCAGGAATACCTGATCAGTCGCGAGCTATTGTACTTTGTGATTGTTGTCAATATGACTCCTCGACCAGCTGCGATACTATCGTCATTCCAGTGATTGGATGCAGTTGAAGTTCGGTGATTGGATGCAGTTGAAGTTTGGATCAAGTAGAGTGTATCCAGAGGGTAAACATTAGGCTTAGAGTAGCGTAAGCGAACTAAGGACCAAATGAATCACTTTGCGTTTTGCATTAAAACAATCAAGCACTTCCAACCTATCCAAGATCTTTAGGTTATGAGCCCAAGCCCCGCCACCTCAACCTCTGCTGCCGACTACGCGTTCGCTATGGAGCACTCGTCGCTGAATCGCATCAACAAGTTTGATGGAACCAACTTCCACGCCTGGAAGTTCAAGATGCAGATGGTGCTCGAGGAGCGTGACCTGTGGGAGGTCGTCTCTGGGGAAGTGAAGATTGGTGACTTGGCGAACACGATGGACCAAGCGTCGTTCAAGAGGAAGTCTCGCAAGGCCATGGCAGCTATCTGCTTGGCTATGGAAGATTCGCAACTGCCGCTCGTCCGCTCTGCAAGTGATGCGCATAATGCATGGTCAAGACTTGAAGACCACTTCGAGAAGAAGAGCTTGGCGAATAAGCTCTTCCTTCGTCGTCGTCTCTTCACAGTCACGATGGAAGAAGGGGACGATGTGATGGAACACATCAATAAGGTAAAGACTCTGGCAGAGCAGCTCGAAGCAGTCGGCGCTCCGGTCAGTGCTGACGACCTGGTAATCACGCTGCTTGGAAGTCTCAGCGAATCGTACCAGTTCCTCATCACTGCGTTGGAATCGAGAGCTGATACGTTGACGTGGGAGCTAGTGTCGTCTAGGCTTCTTCATGAGGACATGAAACGCAAGGAACAAAGTGGTAGCGTCGACGGAGCTACCCATGGCCAAGCGTTTATGACAAGAGACAACAAGCGCAACAAAGGGCGACCGGTGAAGAAGACTGGGGCGTGCCATAATTGCGGCAAAATGGGTCATTGGATCGCGGAGTGTCCTTCGCGAGGCCAAGACAACACGGAACAATACCGATCGCATCGCGCCAACGTCGCTCAGAACGACAATGACGGCGACTATCTATTTTCGGTTAGCTGGAGTAAAAGCACCGACAACGCGGATGAAGTGTGGCTGGTCGACTCAGGAGCGACGCAGCACATGACGTGCTCCAAGAAGTTCATGACAAACTACAAGCTCTTCTCTCCAATTGACGTACACCTTGCAGACGATGGTGTCGTGCAAGCAATTGGATGTGGTGACATAATGATGTCAATGAAGACCCCGAAGGGTATCAAGAAGGGTGTACTGACGAAGGTGTGGCACATTCCCAAGCTATCCCGCAACCTTTTCTCGGTCGGTCGATTTACTAAGGACGTCGGTCCTGTAACATTCGACACGGATGGCTGTTTTGCCGAAGCGAATAGCATGAAGTGGAAGATCGGAGCTCGTGAGGGTAAAGGTCTCTTCAAGCTTCAAATGACGCCACTTCTGGGAGATGAAGCCAATGCAGCCAAGTCGTCGGGATGTTATGGGGACACCAAGTCGTACCTCTGGCACCTTCGACTTGGTCATTTGGGCCACGATGGACTTGATACCATCGTGAAGAAGAAACTTGGTGTTGGAATCAACATAACGTCTGTCGAAGACTGGGATGTTTGTGATGGGTGTTCGCTTGGTAAGCAAACACGCGTGCGTTTTCAATCGACAGCACCAAAACGCTCAACCAAGATTCTGGATGTCATTCACAGCGACGTCTGTGGACCTATGTCAAGATTAACTTTTAGTGGTAAACGATACTTCGTCACGTTCATTGACGACAAGTCAAGATACTGCGTGGTGTACCTTATGAAGAAGAAGTCCGAAGTGACCACCAAGTTTGCTGAGTTTGTTGCTCTTGCCGAGACTCAAACTGGTAATCGCGTCAAGACGCTAATTTGTGACAACGGCGGCGAGTACACGGCTGGAGACATGGCGAAGTTTTGTACCAAGAACGGTATTGTTCGAAAGTACACGCCACCGTACACACCACAGCTGAATGGGGTCGCGGAGCGAATGAACCGGACGCTCGTGGAATGTGCTCGTTGCATGCTGGAGCACGCTGGATTACCCAAGAAATATTGGGGCGAAGCTGTGACGACGGCAATGTTTCTGCGAAACCGATGCCCAACAAGAGCCATAAGTGAAGAAAAGTCACCTTATGAGGTCTGGACGAAGAAGAAGCCTGTACTGACAAACCTCAAGGTATTTGGATGTCATGCGTACGTCCATATTCCGCACGAGAAACGCTCGAAATTAGATGCCAAGGCTTCACTATGCCGTTTTTTGGGCTACGCGGAGCATCTCAAGTCCTACCGCTTTGAGGACATATCAAGTGGGCGCGTCACCGTAAGTCGTGATGCGCAGTTTATGGAAGACGTCTTCGACGGTGGTAGATCTGTCCAAGAACAAGCGGTCACTGATCTCAACGAGGAATTGAGTACGGACCATGAAGATACGGATGACGCTATGAATGAAGATGAAGACGTTGAGAACGTCCAAACGACAGACTTCGCGCCTGGCGACAAAAGACATCCAAGAACACAATCTCTTGATCAAGCAACGGAAATTCCGAGTTCGAAGCGACAAAACATGTCGGCAATTGCTGAAGGAGATTTTGAGGCGGCATTCGTTGTGGATTCAGTGGGAGAAATGCCGACCACGCACAGGTCGGCGATGGAATCCATCAACTCTGTGAAATGGGAAGAAGCGTGCGACTCCGAAATCAACTCGCTGCTCAAGAACAAGACATGGGATCTTGTTCAGCTTCCCAAAGGTCGCAAAGCAATCGGCTGCAGATGGGTATTTCGTGTCAAAGAAAACAAGGATGGACAAATTGAGCGGTTCAAGGCACGCCTGGTTGCAAAAGGATTCTCGCAAAAGTTCGGTATTGACTATGAAGAAACATTCGCGCCT